CTGACATCTCGCCCGTCATCCTCGTCGTCTCCCCGGTGTCTCTCCACGTGTCTCCCCGCGTCGTCATCTCCTCCTCTTTCTCATGAACATGTCCCCATGTCAGACACCCGGGTGTGCCTCCCAGACTCTCTGTGTGATGTCCGCCCGCGGGCTCGAAGCACTCACCCTGCACTGCGCAGACTCCGCGTCCGTCTCCAGATGCGGGGATCTTGGGCGCTGCTGGATCGCCTCGGCCGCGTCACTCGGGACACCGGCGTGGATTCCATGTGACCTGTGACTCCTATAACAGCTGTGCAACCTGGAGCAGCTGTGAGGCCGAAAACACCGATCACCCATATATCTGTGAACCCTACAACACCTGTGCCTCCAATAGCACCTGTGAATCCTATAACACATGTAAGCCATATAACACCTGTGACCCATATAACACGTGTGAGCCCTACAACACAACACCTGTGGCCCCTATAATATATGTGAATCCTGTAACAGCTGTGACTCATGTCAAACCCGCGATTTAACACCTGGATCACCTGCGCGACACTTCGGCGTCGCTCAGCTGATTGCGGTTTATGACGGAAACGTCTGAAGCCAAGGTTGGAGGAAGTAGGGGGGGGGGTCTTGTGGGGAGGGAGGGAGGGGGGTGTTCCTTTGCGAGTTTCATTTCCTATTCTCGGCTGCCTTGTCTCCCCCCCCACCTCCCCCTCCTCTTCCCCCGCCGTCTCTCCCCGCAGACGGAGGCTCTGAGTCGGAGGTTCTCGGCTGGCCGGGAGGGTGAGTGATGGAACGGGCTGCAGTGCCGGATGAAGCTAGTGCGGGGCCTGTAGCATATGATGTTATAAAGGGGCCCTTAATGTAAAAAAACATAAATATTAAAACACACATGTTTAACTTGCATAGTAAAGTAATTGTATTTTTTTCATTTTTTATACAGCCAGATAATGCGACAAATCGCTAACCTTCAACACCCATTCGTTCATAAAAGTTGAAGGCGGTATAGTACTATACTAAAAGAGGAAATGCAGGCTCACTGAACCGGAATTGATCGCTTGAAAGCGTTTAGCGCGGGGCCCTTGAAAGTGCGGGGCCCGGAGCATGTGTAGCTACTTGTGCTACCACGATAATCCGGCACTGACGGGCTGGGGTATCGTCCCGTGTCCACACCGCGCAACCGGTATTTCATTTAAACGAATAATAATAATACATCGATGTCCGTGTGTTGAACTTCTTTCGCACCGTACGCAGCCACCAACAGCGCGAGTTGGAGGTGCGGCTTACTGTGGAGCCACCACAGACGGCCGTGCTGGTAAACACAGACGTCTGCGCCGTTCCAACAGCCAGAATACCAAATATACCAACATCATTATCATGAATGTGTGTGTGTTAGGTGTAATACGTAGAGACTATATAATGGAGCGATTTGCAGTGTGATGTTTCAGCTTTGGGATGTTTCGGCTCAATAGCAATGACATAGCGTGTTATTTATTTATTTATTACTGCTATATATGGTTTTGCTAGGTAATGCTCACTGAGCTGCATAGCTGTTTAGAGAGGCCACAAATGACAGCTCAACGAAGCGGCTTATCATCATCACGTGGGAATGTATAGCAGTAGCCAAATACTCTAAACACGTGACGTTGATTCTAAATGTGGAGGAAAAAAACGGAAGACCCGGAGAAAAATCCACGCGACCACGGGGAGAGAGACACGCAGACACCAAATATACAACAGGCGTCAGAGTCGGGATCGAACCTACGACCTCCTGTATAGGGGCCGCCTATAAATGACGTCACGCACCTAGGGGGGGGGGTCAGACATTTGTGACGAAGTGTGACGGGGGGGGGGGGGGTGAGAAATGTGACGTCACATCAAAATGCGCAACTTTAAATAAATATAGACAACACGTTCTACTGAATTAAAAAGACTTTTTAATAAATGTTTTCTCCTACAACATCAGAGTGCAGCGCCACATTAAATACGCACTACAATGACAATAGTTTAAAGCGATTTGAAGCATGTTTTATTTGGGGGGGGGGGGGCAGAGCTTTGTGACGTCATATTTGAGGGGAGGTCTGACTTTGTGTGACGTCGTGTGACGAAGGGGGGGGGGGGGGTCAAAAATCGTCCAAAATCGCGTGACGTCAATTATGGACGGCCCCCATACCTGGCGAGGTAGTTAACACCTAGCCACCGTAGCTTTGGCGAGGACATCTGAGAACCGGGAGGAAAACATTGGGGAGAACATACAAGACAAAGACCCCCCCCACCGCTTCGCATTGACAGATTGTTGGGGCGAGTGCTGTTCGCGAGCACACGAGGGAGTGGGTGCTCAGTATTTATTCGGCTGCTATAAATTTCCACGTGATGATAAGACATTTCGTTGAGCTATCATTTGTGGCGAGGTCGCCTCTCAAAAAAGAGCTGTACATAACTCAATGGGTGCCCAGCACTACGCCCCACCGCATTTGTCTCCCCAGTGGCGATATTTACACACGGCACCGAGTACTCATTTGAGGCTGAGTCGATCTAGGGGAGGCCCAGGACCGGCTCAGATAATCGTCACCGGTGTCGTCCGTTGGCCGGAATCGAACTCGGGTCGTCGGTTTCGTAGCGCCAACCCGCGACACGACGTACGAACTCCGCACAGACACACAGAGAGGCGGCCGAGTCGGGGAATCAAAGACGGCAAATCTGTATTTGCCGTGACCACTGTGCCAACTTGACCGAAGGAACACCGGGGGCGGAGTGGCCCTGCAGTGGAACATGGATCGGCCGAATGAGCACGCGCAGGGGACAGCTGGGGGCCGGCTAACTGGAGGCACGCGGTGATCTTAAAATACCCCGCGAGGGGTATGTACACACACACACGCACACAAAGGCGAATGTCCCCCATATAGCCTTCACCAGACAGTTGGGGTAAGTGCTGTTGGCGAGCTGCTATGAAGGCCGGTACGGCACATGGCAGGGGGGGAACAGCAGGCCCGGCTGTGTCCTGATGTGTACACAGCATAGCAGGTACTCATTTAAGGCTGAGTCGATGTAGGGGAGGCCAAGCCAGGGCCGGTTCAAATATTCGTTGTTGTCATTGGTTGTGGGAGGGAATCGAACTCGGGTCGCCGGGTTCGTAGTGCAGTGCCCCTAACCACTGCGTCCACCGCTCTCCACATCATGTACACAACACAGCACATGTGAATCTATTTAAATTGACATGTTCATTGAGCACGGGCATAGCATCAATACGTGGATTATGTAAACACTTAATCAGGAAACATATTTGTAAGTTCATTCTTATCGGACACCCCATGGGTTACAGAAAAAGACCCGTCCCCCAACTTGCTTCCACTGTCCCTCTAGACTCTCTAGGTACTGTGAGGAAGGGCCTTTGTCCGAAACGTCGCCTATTATTTAACTACTTAAGGTCACCGTGTTATTGACGAATGTGTTGAGTCTTTGTGTGATATACACATTCTGTATACACAACGATCCCCGTATATCATGAGCAGACGTTTGCAGCAAGTGCCATCAGCACCTATGAAGACCGGTACGGTACGCATGGGGTGGTTGGTGACCAGCACCACGCCGGACCGCCTTTGTCTCCCCAGTGCTGATGCTTGCAGACCACACCAGGCACTCATTTAGGGTTGACACGACCTTGGGGAGGCACAGGACCCATTCAGATATTCAACAATAGGAATGAACCACACATCACACTTTCACAAAGAAAGCATACTGCACACATATACAAAGATAGTCAGTGTAGCCTTTAACAGGCTACAGGGGCAAATGTTGTTGTCGTTTGTGTTAACTCGGCCAACCCATGTGTACACATTGTATCATAGGATTATGCACTTGAGACATCGCACACCGCATACACCGAAAATAAACACATTACAAGCGTCACATAATTCATTTGCACACGCAAATACAAAGATCCCCCGTACAGCCAACACAGGCTGTAGGGGCAAGTTCTGTTCACGGCCACCTACGAAGGTACACGAGGGTGTGCGTGGCCATCAACACGCCCGACCGCCTTTGTCTCCCCAGTGAAGATATTTACACACCGCACCAGGTACTAGGGGAGGCCCAAGGACCGGTTCAGACAATCGTCACTGGTGTTGGCCGTGAGCGGGAATCGAACTCGGGTCTTCAGGTTCCTAGCGCTGCCCGCTAACCGCTGCACCACCGCTCCCTAAGGTGTCACACACGGACGCAAAGTGGCACGCACACAAAGATCTCCCGTATGGCCTTGGCACACGCGCACACACAGTGACACGCGCACACAGAGTAACACACATTTACGGCATCTATTTATAAACCGACATTGGAAGCTATGCCACTTATGTCTGTGTGTCTACGCACGTCGTCTGTTTGCGTGTCTCTCTGTAGGTGGACTGAATCTTTACTGAGTAACCGGCGCAGTATGTATACATCTGGAGAGACAAAGGCGGCCGGGCGTGTTGTTGGCCACCCACCCCCTCGGGTGCCGTGCCAGGCATAGCAGGCGCTCGCAAACAGCACTTGCCCCAGCAGTCTGTTAAAGGCTATAGGGGGACCTTTGTCTTTGCGTGTGTGTCAATCTCAGTTCGTGTCTCTGTGTGTCTACGCAGCAAGTTGGCAGAGTGCAGAGCACAGGCGATGTCATATGTCAGTCACCTCGGTCACGACAGGGTCTGTCTGTCTGCCCAGTGACCTCCTGCACCTAGCCTGGCACACCATTCAACCCATACCACCTGGGTTTGTCCCGCGGCCTCGTGTCTTGCCAAGCAAGTGAGCCTTCCCCACGCTTCACGTGCACCTAGCCTGGCACAAGCGCTTATCTGAACCTCGCCGCTGACCTCTGTCCGCTCGGGCACTCGAGGGGGAATGAAACGATCCCCTCATGGCACAGGGGACCCCTCCCCCTACCCCTGCCGGCACAGAGGGGGCCCCACGGCCCTACCCCCCCACCGATGTATTAAGACCCGGGACCCCACGTGTCTCGCCGGATCTGTGGACACACGAGGGAACGCGATGTGACGGAGTCGTGCAGACACGTGATACGAGCCGGCATCAGCAGCAGCAACAGCAACAGCAGCGGCGGCTATTGGACTACTGTTGTTTAGTATCATCATCAGCAGCATCAGCAGCTGCTGCTGCAGCTCTTACCACCGCAGCACTAACAGGGACGACAGCAAGAGGAATTTACTGACATCAGAAGAAACGTCATCGCTGCGATCAGTAGAATCATCATCATCGTCATCGTCGGTGTCCCCGATATCATCACCATCATCACCATCACGCCAACAGCCACAACCAGCACAGACGCCGCAATCAGCAGCACTTGACTACATCACCACCATCATCACGATTGAATGTTCCACCACCACCAGTGTCATCAACACAACATCATCATCACCCAACACATCAGAATTACAAACTATTAACATCATCACAACACCACCATCATCACCAACTCCACCAGACCACGCACGCACGATGACTGCGCAATCACAGTGACTAATTCTGCAATCACAGTGACTGATTCTACAATCACAGTGACTAATTCTGCAATCACAGTGACTGATTCTGCAATCACAGTGACGAATTCTGCAATCACAGTGACTGATTCTACAATCACAGTGACTAATTCTACAATCACAGTGATTGATTCTACAATCACAGTGACTGATTCTACAATCACAGTGACTAATTCTGCAATCACAGTGACTGATTCTGCAATCACGGTGATTCCAGGGACCATACGGTTCATCACGTGACAAGCCTCCCTCTGCCAGCCTGGAAATCTTGTATCCGGTAGAGAACACATCACCATCAACACATCAACACCACCACCATCAATATCATCAACATCTCGATAAACATCACCACCACCAACACAATCGAGTGTCAAAACATCACCATCAACAACACCATTATCCTCACCACCATCAACATCCATCACCATTACTATCATCAGCACTATCACCACCACCATCAACCACCAGTATCATAACATCACCATCAACACTTCCAAACACGTGTGTCACCTGATCACACCGCTTACACCACCCCACATCGTCACTCCATCAGCACCACGAGTTTTTACATCACACCACCACCACCATCAGCATCAGCAGAGATAGCAACATCACATCCCAACTACCATCATCATCATCACCAGCAGTGTCATCACATCTCCACCACCAGTATAACCATCACCACCAACATCATTAACAGCAGTACCACCACCGCGTCTCCACCACCACCATCACCAAGAGGAACACCGTCAGCATCACTTGACATCTGTGGAAACATCTTTATAGCTCATCGGATTCCTCCTGTATACATATTCTCACTCTGATCACGTAACCACCGTCATCGCCACTATAATCACAGCAACAACAAAGAAGCAGATCGCCCACCGCCTTGAACAGACGACTCCACCACCAGCACCACCATCACCAGCACCACCACCGTCACCACCACCGTCAATACCAGCGTCACCACCACCACCACCAGCATCACTAGCACCGTCAATTCTACCACCACCGTCACCACCATCACCACCACCATCACTAGCATCGTCAATACCACCATCACCGTCACCACCACCATCACCACCACCATCACCGTCACCACTACCACCACCACTGTCACCACCACCATCAGCATCACCATCACCGCCACCATCACCGCCACCACCGCCACCACCACCATCACCACCACCGTCACCATCACCACCGTCGCCACCACCGCCGCCACCACCACTGTCACCACCACCATCACCATCAGCATCACCACCATCATCACCACCACCACAGTCGCCACCACCATCACCACCACAGCGGCCGCGATGTTGCGCGACGTGGACGACCTCGAGTTCGAGGCGCCGTCAGCACTGCGCCCTCGTCATGTCGGGCCTGCGCGCCGAGCGCTTCGACCCCAAGCTGAGCGACGTCGCCCTCGAGGCGGCCGGGCGCCGCTACCCGTGCCACCGCGCCGTGCTGGCGCTCTGCAGCCCCTTCTTCAGGTGCCCGCCGCCTCCTCCTCCTCACCCTCCTCCTCACCACACTCACTCCCCTCACCCCCCTCACACCCCTCACCCTCCTCACTTCCCCTCACTCCCCTCACCCTCCTCATCCTCCTCACTTCCCCTCACTCCCCTCACCCTCCTCACTCCCCTCACCCCCCTCACCCTCCTCACCCTCCTCACCCCCTCACCCTCCTCACCCCCTCACCCTCCTCACTCCCCTCACCCCCCTCACCCTCCTCACCCTCCTCACCCTCCTCACTCCCCTCACCCTCCTCACCCTCCTCACCCTCCTCACTCCCCTCACCCCCCTCACCCTCCTCACTCCCCTCACCCTCCTCACCCCCCTCACCCTCCTCACCCCCTCACCCCCCTCACCCTCCTCACCCCCCTCACCCCCCTCACCCCCCTCACCCTCCTCACTCCCCTCACTCCCCTCACTCCCCTCACCCCCCTCACCCCCCTCACCCTCCTCATCCTCCTCACTTCCCCTCACTCCCCTCACCCTCCTCACTCCCCTCACCCCCCTCACCCTCCTCACTCCCCTCACCCTCCTCACCCTCCTCACCCTCCTCACCCTCCTCACCCTCCTCACTCCCCTCACCCTCCTCACCCTCCTCACCCTCCTCACCCTCCTCACTCCCCTCACCCTCCTCACCCCCCTCACCCTCCTCACCCCCCTCACCCCCCTCACCCCCTCACTCCCCTCATTCCCCTCACCCCCCTCACCCCCCTCACCCTCCTCACCCCCCTCACTCCCCTCACTCCCCTCAACCTCCTCACTCCCCTCAACCTCCTCACTCCCCTCAACCTCCTCACTCCCCTCACTCCCCTCACTCCCCTCAACCTCCTCACCCCCCTCACCCCCCTCACCCCCCTCACCCTCCTCACTCCCCTCACTCCCCTCAACCTCCTCACTCCCCTCACTCCCCTCACCCCCCTCACCCCCCTCACCCCCCTCACCCTCCTCACTCCCCTCACCCTCCTCACCCCCCTCACCCTCCTCACCCCCTCACTCCCCTCACCCTCCTCACCCCCCTCACCCCCCTCACCCCCCTCACCCCCCTCACCCTCCTCACTCCCCTCACTCCCCTCACTCCCCTCACCCCCCTCACCCCCCTCACCCCCTCACTCCCCTCACCCCCCTCACTCCCCTCACCCTCCTCACCCTCCTCACCCCCCTCACCCCCCTCACCCCCTCACTCCCCTCACCCTCCTCACCCCCCTCACCCTCCTCACTCCCCTCACTCCCCTCACCCCCCTCACCCTCCTCACTCCCCTCACTCCCCTCACACCCCTCACACCCCTCACCCTCCTCACCCCCCTCACTCCCCTCACTCCCCTCACCCTCCTCACCCCCCTCACCCCCCTCACCCTCCTCACCCCCCTCACCCCCCTCACCCCCCTCACTCCCCTCACCCTCCTCACCCCCTCACCCTCCTCACCCTCCTCACCCCCTCACTCCCCTCACCCTCCTCACTCCCCTCACTCCCCTCACTCCCCTCACCCTCCTCACCCCCCTCACTCCCCTCACTCCCCTCACACCCCTCACTCCCCTCACCCTCCTCACCCCCTCACTCCCCTCACCCTCCTCACCCCCCTCACCCCCTCACTCCCCTCACTTCCCTCACCCTCCTCACCCCCCTCACCCTCCTCACCCTCCTCACCCCCCTCACTCCCCTCACCCTCCTCACTCCCCTCACTCCCCTCACCCCCCTCACTCCCCTCACCCCCCTCACTCCCCTCACTCCCCTCACCCCCCTCACCCCCCTCACCCCCCTCACCCCCCTCACTCCCCTCACTCCCCTCACCCCCCTCACCCCCCTCACTCCCCTCACTCCCCTCACACCCCTCACCCTCCTCACCCTCCTCACTCCCCTCACTCCCCTCACCCTCCTCACCCCCTCACCCTCCTCACCCTCCTCACTCCCCTCACCCTCCTCACCCCCTCACTCCCCTCACCCTCCTCACCCCCTCACTCCCCTCACCCTCCTCACCCTCCTCACTCCCCTCACTCCCCTCACCCTCCTCACCCCCTCACCCTCCTCACCCCCTCACTCCCCTCACCCTCCTCACTCCCCTCACTCCCCTCACCCTCCTCACCCTCCTCACCCCCTCACTCCCCTCACCCCCCTCACCCCCTCACCCCCCTCACTCCCCTCACCCCCCTCACCCCCCTCACCCCCCTCACTCCCCTCACTCCCCTCACCCTCCTCACTCCCCTCACTCCCCTCACTCCCCTCACCCGCCCTCACTCTCCTCACCCTCCTCACCCTCCTCACTCCCCTCACTCCCCTCACCCTCCTCACCCTCCTCACCCTCCTCACCCTCCTCACTCCCCTCACCCCCCTCACTCCCCTCACACCCCTCACCCTCCTCACTCCCCTCACCCTCCTCACTCCCCTCACCCTCCTCACTCCCCTCACCCCCCTCACCCCCCTCACTCCCCTCACCCTCCTCACCCCCCTAACTCCCCTCACACCCCTCACCCTCCTCACCCCCCTCACCCTCCTCACTCCCCTCACCCTCCTCACCCCCCTCACCCCCCTCACACCCCTCACCCCCCTCACGGCCTCACTCCCCTCACTCCCCTCACCCCCCTCACCCTCCTCACTCCCCTCACCCCCCTCACACCCCTCACCCTCCTCACCCCCCTCACTCCCCTCACCCCCTCACCCCCCTCACTCCCCTCACCCTCCTCACCCTCCTCACCCCCCTCACCCCCCTCACTCCCCTCACCCTCCTCACTCCCCTCACCCCCCTCACACCCCTCACCCCCCTCACTCCCCTCACCCTCCTCACCCTCCTCACCCTCCTCACCCCCCTCACTCCCCTCACCCTCCTCACTCCCCTCACCCCCCCTCACACCCCTCACCCTCCTCACCCCCCTCACCCCCCTCACTCCCCTCACCCCCCTCACTCCCCTCACCCCCCTCACTCCCCTCACCCTCCTCACCCCCCTCACCCCCCTCACACCCCTCACCCTCCTCACCCTCCTCACTCCCCCTCACCCTCCTCACTCCCCTCACACCCCTCACCCTCCTCACCCTCCTCACCCTCCTCACTCCCCTCACCCTCCTCACTCCCCTCACTCCCCTCACCCCCCTCACTCCCCTCACACCCCTCACTCCCCTCACCCTCCTCACCCCCCTCACCCTCCTCACTCCCCTCACTCCCCTCACCCCCCTCACTCCCCTCACACCCCTCACTCCCCTCACCCCCCTCACCCCCCTCACTCCCCTCACTCCCCTCACCCCCCTCACTCCCCTCACACCCCTCACTCCCCTCACCGTCCTGACTCCCACCACCATCTTCACTCCCCTCACCCTCCTCACTCCCCTCACCCTCCTCACTCCCCTCACTCCCCTCACCCCCCTCACCCTCCTCACTCCCCTCACTCCCCTCACCCCCCTCACTCCCCTCACACCCCTCACTCCCCTCACCGTCCTGACTCCCACCACCATCTTCACTCCCCTCACCCTCCTCACTCCCCTCACCCTCCTCACTCCCCTCACTCCCCTCACTCCCCTCACTCCCCTCACTCCCCTCACCCTCCCTCCTCACTCCCCTCACCCCCCTCACCCCCCTCACCCTCCTCACCCTCCTCATTCCCCTCACCCTCCTCACCCTCCTCACTCCCCTCACTCCCCTCACCCTCCTCACCCTCCTCACTCCCCGCACTCCCCTCACCCTCCTCACTCCCCTCACTCCCCTCACTCCCCTCACCCTCCTCACCCTCCTCACTCCCCTCACCCCCCTCACCCTCCTCACCCTCCTCACCCTCCTCACTCCCCTCACCCTCTTCACTCCCCTCACCCCCCATACACCCCATCCTCCTCCATCTGATCCACTCCTCGTCGTTCACTATTCCTCCACTTGATTGAGCTATCATCCTCCCCCATATCAACTCCCTCCTCTCCTTCGCAGCTCCTCCTTCTCCTCCTGTGTCTTTGTCTCCTCCCCACGTCCTCCTTGTTAAGGAATCCTGCTCCTCCTCTTTCTCAGTTCCTCTTCCTCCTGGGCTCTCCCTCCTCCCGCTCGGCTCCTCCTCCTCCTTCCAGGGTCTCCTCCTCCTCCTTACCAACTCCTCCTGCTCGGCTCCTCCTCCTCCTCCTTGTCCAGGGTCTCCTCCTCCTCCTTACCAACTCCTCCCGCTCGGCTCCTCTTCCTCCTCCTTGTCCAGGGTCTCCTCCTCCTCCTTACCAACTCCTCCCGCTCGGCTCCTCTTCCTCCTCCTTGTCCAGGGTCTCCTCCTCCTCCTTACCAACTCCTCCTGCTCGGCTCCTGACTGCTGGCCGGACGAATGTCCAAACCGAGCCCAGAGGGTTTTGCTACTTTGCGTTTGAACCAATGCTGCCGACATTATGCACTCGCAGAAGGCCGTGTCGCTGATGGGATGTGCACAAAAACATCCACTCCAGTCACTCGCTCGCCCAGTCGCTCGCTCGCCCAGTGACTCACACGCTCACCCAGTCACTCGCTCGCCCAGTCACTCGCTCGCTCACCGGCGGTCAGTCACAACTCTCCATCACAACTCTCCATCACAACCTCGCTAACAGTGCTGTGTGTTGCTGGCCGCTTGACATTGTGGGCATTTGGACAACTGTGCTCGGCAACTGTAAACAACAACAGCAAAGAGACAAGCTGAAGGCTGGACTGATGATGTTGTTGTTGATGCTGATGATGTTGTTGATGATGATGTTGTTGATGATAATGTTGATGATGTTGATGATGATAATGATGACGTTGATAATGTTGTTGATGTCGATATTGATGATGATGTTGTTGATATCGATGATGATGTTGATGATGATAATGATGTTGTTGATTATGCTGATGTTGATGATGGTGGTGATGGTGGTGATGATGTTGATGATGTTGATGTCGATGTTGTTGATGATGTTGATGATGATGTTAATAATGTTGTTGATGATGTCGATGATATTGATGATGATGATGTTGTTGATGATGATGTTGATGATAATGATGTTGTTGATTATGATGTCGATGATGATGTTGAAGATGATGTCGACAATGTTGATAATGACGATAGTGTTGATGATATTGATAATGTTGATGTCGATGATGTTTATGATGATGTTGATGATGTTTTTGATCATCTTGCTAATGTTCATGATGATGTTGAAGACGATGTCGACGATGTTGTTGTCGTTGTTGTTGTTGACGATGTTGTTGTCGTTGTTGTTGTTGACGTCGTCGTCGTCGTCGTTGTTGTTGTTGACGATGTTGTTGTCGTTGTTGTTGTTGACGATGGGGTGTCGTGCAGGGCCATGTTCTGCGGAGAGTTCCGGGAGAGCTTCTCGGCGGTGGTGCCGCTGCCCCAGGCCGACCCGGCCGCCCTGGAGCAGCTGGTGGACTTCGCCTACACGGGGAGGTTGACCATCAACCAGGAGAACGTGGAGACACTGACCGCACTCGCGGGACGCCTCCAGTTCTCGTCCGTGCGAGAGGTGCCACCCACCACCACCACCACCCCCCCACCACGCCACCCCCCCACCACCACCACGCCACCACGCCCCCCCCCCCACCACGCCCCCCCCCCCACCACCCTCCACCAACACGCCACCCCCCACCACCACCACGCCACCCCCCCACAACTACGCCACCACCACGCCACCCCCCCACCACCACGCCCCCCCACCACCACGCCACCCCCCCACCACGCCACCCCCCCACCACCACGCCACCCCCCCCACCACCACGCCCCCCCACCACCACGCCACCCCCCCACCACGCCACCCCCCCACCACCACGCCACCCCACCACCACCACGCCACCCCACCACCACCCCCTCCCACCACCCCCCCCCCACCACGCCACCCCCGCTCACGGCCAACACCGGCGACGATTGTTATGGGCCTCGCCTAGGTTGACTCGGTCTCAATTTAGTATCTGGTGCGATGTGTATACATCGCCAATGGGAAGACAAAGGTGGTCGGGCGTGGTGCTGGCCACCCACCCCCTCGTGTACTGCACCAGCCTTCATAGGTGCTCGCTAACAGCACTCGACCCTACAGGCTATTAAATACTATATATATATCTTTGTCTTTGGGAAAAACTGGAGAACACGCAAACTCCAAACATACAGCAGGCGTCACTGTCGGGATGGAACCCACGACCTCCTGCAAACCAGGCGAGGTAGTTAGGGGCCGTCCATTAATGACGTCACGCACCTGGGGGGGGGGGTCAGACATTTGTGACGATGTGTGACGAGGAGGGGGTTTAAGAAATGTGACGTCACATCAAAATGCGCAACTTTAAATAAATATAGACAACACGTTCTAATTAATTAAATAGATAAAAAAAAATTTCTACAACTTCAGAGTGCAACTTCAGAGTGCAGCGCCACATTAAATATTTTTTGGGGGGGGGGCAGAGCTTTGTGACGTCATATTTTGAGGGGTGGTCTGACTTTTTGTGACGCCGTGTGACGACGGGGGGGGGGGGGGACGGGGTCAAAAATCGTCCAAAATCGCGTGACGTCATTTATGGACGGCCCCTTAACACCTCCTAGCAGACCGTGTGCGCGCCCTATCCCGGACTCTAACCGCCCCGCCGGGCACCCTGCAGGTGTGCAGCCGCTACCTGCAGCAGCAGATCTCGGCCGCGAACTGCCTGGGCATCGGCCTGTTCGCCGAGGCCCACGCCTGCCCCGAGGTGGCGGCCAAGGCCGGGGCCTTCGCCCTCGACAACTTCGGGGCGGTGGTGGCCGAGGAGGAGTTCGGGGATCTGAGCTGCGACTCGCTGCTACAGCTGCTGTCGGCCCAGCGGCTGCAGGTAGCGAGCGGCCCCCCCCCCCCCCCCCGCCAATCGTTAGCTTTTGTTGTTGCTCTGGAGACCGGGAGATCGACGTTTCGATGTCACCTGTCGTGGTGTCTCACCGTCATGGAGCGGCGCCGCGTGCCAGCGCTGCTGCCACCTTCCACTCCAATCGGCAGCGGCTACAGCCCCCCTCACCCGGGCCTGAAGTCGTACCCCCCCCCCCCCTTGAGACAACACTGAGCTTAACCCTCCGCTTGGCAGTGTCTCCCAGACTTAGCCATAACCCAATAGCCTAAACCCATCACTTTGGCATTAACCACAACCCTGATGTGGACACTGTGACCCTGACCATATCCCTCACACCTGACCTTAATCCTGACTCTACTCTTACCACTTGACTCTCGTCCTAATTCTGACCCTTACCCTCATGCTCACCATAACCCTACCTTCAACTCTGACCTTTACCCTGACCCTCAGCCTTCTTCTTGTTTGTTACAGCCTACGGGATGTAGGAGTGTCAACAAATCACAGTGGCCCTACACACAAGCCTCCCTCCCTCGCCCCCATCCTATTCCTCCCCTCGCCCTCTCTCCCTCCCTGCCCTCCCCTCTCCTCCCCTCTCCTCCCCTCGCCTCTCTCTCCCTCACCTCCCTCCCTCCCCTCTTCTCTTCTCCCCTCCCCTCCCCTCCCCTCTCCTCCTCTCGCCTTGCCCATCCCTTCCTTCCTCCCCCGCCCATCTCCCCGCAGGATCGCGAGGACCCCGCGCTGCTGCTGGGCGCCGCCCTGAGCTGGGTGCGGAGGGACCCGGCGTGCCGCACGCCCCACCTGGGGGCCTTGCTGGGCGCCGTGCGGCTCGGCGCCCAGCGGGGGGCCGGCCCCTCGTGCAGGGCGCTGCTGCAGGACCCCCTGCTGCAGGGGGACCCCTCCTGCAGGGCGCTGCTCGCCGACGTCGCCATGGACTTCGACGACACGCAGGCCACCGACGCTGACCAGGTGGCCAACTTAAAACCACAAACTAAAATATTTTTTTACCTTACTTGGTAAAGAAGTATGGCTCTTTGTCAGAAGCGACCTGCCCACAAATGGTAGCTCAACGTAGTGGCTTATCATCATCATCATCACGTGGAAATTTATAGCCGCCAAATACGCTAAACGCATGACGTTGATTCTAAATGTGGAGGGCAAAACCGGAGGACCCGGAGAAAATCCACGCGACCAAATATACAGCAGCAGGCGCCAGAGATGGACTCGAACCCGTGACATCCTGTAGACCAGGCGAGCTAGTTGACCCTACGTTGATCCCGCACACTTCGCTACAGCTCCTCCACACGGTAGACGCTGATTTCACCGACCCGGCATCTGTGACGATGTAATTTGTGTAGCTAGGTCAGGTGGTGGAGGGTCTTCCGACATAAAACTCGCCAGATCATTCACGTGGTCTCACCCAAAAAAAAATCTACTCCTAATTATTATACCTGCACCTGTTGACCCAGGAAAGCTTCATCGAGTCTCGGGATTAATGTTCGGCAGGGCCCTGCCCAGTTCTTGCAGTAGGGGGCGATGTTGTTGCTGCTTGCTGCTGCTGCCGCCGTGTGTGGTACCAACTGAACAATATTCTTGGTTCTTTCGGTAAAGTCACGTAGAAGGGAAATACTAAAATAATATAGATATAAAACAATACAAATTCGTTTCGACTGCAACACAAGCAATCATCATCAGGTGTGAAATCCACAGCAAGAACATTTGAAAAAAGTGACGGTTTTTCCTAACGTCAGCACCAAGGACAGCAACGTCGTGAGAATTTTAATTGTTTTATATTTTTATTATTTTATTATCTCCCTTCTACGTGACTTTACCGAAAGAACCAAGAATATGAATCCCTGCAGTCACGAAAGCTTTACATCAAAATTCAACTGAATAATGTTGAGGCGTAACTTTGCAGCATTGCGACGGATGTTTTATTGAGCCCAATAAACATTAAAAACGATTCGGTGAGGTCACCGCCACCTCCCGACCCACGCGGCCAGTTGCGACGCCACGTCCGGAGCGCGCCGCGTGACTCTCTCCCGCCGCAGGGCGAGGGGCACCACGCGGCTCCTCAGGGGGGCTGCCCCCCCCAGGACCGCGAGGTGCTGGTGGTGATCGGGGGGCGAGCGCTGCAGGAGGACGACGAGGATGAGGAGGAGGAGTGGGGGGACGCGGCGCCATCCAGGAACGCCGCCTTCTACGAGCCCACTTCGCGTGAGCGCGCTCTGTGTGCCCTTGTGTCGGTGCGTGGGGAGCGGTAGTGTGTGCTCGCTCACAGCACTTGCCCCAGCGGTCTGGTGAGGCTATACGGGGGGTCTTTGTCTTTATTTTTTGGAAGGGTAGTGCAGCGGTTAGCACGCTGCGCTACGAACCCGAAGACACGAGTTCGATTCTTGCTCATGGTTAACACCGGTCCTGGGCCTCCCCTAGGTCGACTCAGCCTCAAATGTGTAAACAACGCCGCTGGTGTATACGTGTGGTGTGTGTGTGGTGTGTGTGTGGTGTATGTGTGGGTGTGTGTGTCGTGTGTGTGGTGTGTGTGTGGTGTGTGTGGTGTGTGTATGTGGTGTGTGTGGTGTGTGTGTGGTGTGTGTGTGGTGTTTGTGGTATGTGTGTGGTGTGTGTGGTGTGTGTGTGGTGTGTGTGGTGTGTGTGTGGTGTGTGTGGTGGTGTGTGTGTGGTGTGTGTGGTGTGTGTGTGGTGTGTGTGTGGTGTGTGTGGTGTGTGTGGTGTGTGTGTGGTGTGTGTGGTGTGTGTGTGGTGTGTGTGGTGGTGTGTGGTGTGTGTGTTGTGTGTGTGTGGTGTATACGTGTGGTGTGTGTGTGGTGTCTGCGGTGTGCGCAGGAACTTGGCGTCTGCTGCCGGACTTCCCCGAGTACAACAAGTGGGGGTTCTCGGTGTGCGCCCTCAACAACAGCGTATACGTCACAGGTGGGACACGCACACCGCCACGCAAAGACAAAGATCCCCCGTGTAGCCTTCACCGACTGCTGGGGCAAGTGCTGTTAGCGAGCACCTATGAAGGCCGGCACGGCACACGAGGGGGTGGGTGGAGAGCACCACGTCGGGCCACCTTTGTCTCCCCAGTGACGATGTTCACACACCGCACCAGGTACTCATTTGAGGCTGAGTTGACCTAGAGGAGGCCCAGGACCGGTTCAGATAATCGCCACCGGTTTTGGCAGTGAACGGGAATCGAACTCGGGTCGCCGGGTTCGTAGCGCAGCACTACCATCACCAACATCACCATCGTCACTGACATCGACAATGTCATCTCCATCATCATCATCATATCCACCACTGGTCAATTTTAGTTTAGTGAATTTGTGTGGGGGCGGGGGGGTGCTGTGGTGTGTGTGTAGGGGGGTCACGCGGCTCCATGCAGGACAGCTGGTCGACCACGCACGTGTGGCGCCTGAACCCATCCGTGCGGATCTGGGAGCCTGCGACCCCGATGCTCAAACCGCGCACGAACCACTGCACCGCGGCGCTCAACGGCGACCTCTACGCGATAGGAGGTGCGGGGCAACCGTGGGCAACCCCGGGCAACTGCAGGCAACTGCGGTGACACCATGGGTAACCGCGGGTAACCACGGGATAACCACAGGGCAACCGCAGGGCAACCGCAGGGCAACCGCGGGCACCGTCGTTCCACCGCATGAAACCACACACAGCCACGTGCGACCTTGTGTCCCCATATTACCACGTAAACGTCATGCAACCACGGGTGTGCTTTACAATGGCCACCACTCTTGTTCAGGCCAGGCGGCTACAGCGGCAGAGCCAGCGGCTCACAATTGGAACGTTTCGAGTTCAATTCCCGGTTGTGAGGGGTGGGGTGGGGGGGGGTGCGGGTTGACTCAACCAATCATCCATCCGCACAGGGTCGATACAACGAGTACAAGTTTGTGTTGGTGGAAGCCAACGGCTGCCGTGTCCAACTTAAAACGCGCAGTGGGCTCGTAGCAGGCCATGCGAACGTGACATTTCCACCACCGGCTGCACCGGTCGCTTTCGACGAGCTCGTTCGAGCGTTGGGGAAAAAAAAAATATCTCGCACCCATTCCCCGGCCCCGGGGGGGGGGGGGGGGGGGGGGGACCGCAGTCCGCGCGGTTTTCCACGGCTCCTCACGGTGGCCAGCTCTTCTTCTCTCTCTGCCGCCGTGCGTGTCGGGGCAGGCACCGCGTCGGGCGTGGTGGAGGCGGAGCGCTACGAGCCGTACAGCGCCGCGTGGTCGCCGGTGCCGGCACCGCCGCGATTCGTCAGCAACTTCACGGCGAGCGGGTGCCGGGGACGCCTCTACCTGGTGGGCTCGTGCGCCGCCAAGTACAACGCTCTCGCCCTGCAGAGATACAGCCCCATCACGGGTGAGAGAGACTTGGAGGGGGTTCGTGTTGAGGCTGGGGGTTCCGCGTCTCTCCCCCGCGTCTTCCCGTGTCTCCCTGCGTCTCCCCGCATCTCCCCGTGTCTCGTCACCCCGTGTCTCCTCACCCCATGTTCCCACGTGTCTCCCTGCGTCTCCCCATGTCTCCCCGTGTCTCGTCACCCCATGTCCCCACGTGTCTCTCCGCATCTCCCCGTGTCTCGTCACCCCATGTCTCCCCGTGTCTCGTCACCCCATGTCTCCACGTGTCTCCCCGCGTCTCCCCGTGTCTCGACACCCCATGTCTCCCCGTGTCTCCCCGCATCTCCCCGTGTCTCCCCGTGTCTCCCCGCATCTTCCCGTGTCTCCCCGTGTCTCCCCGCATCTCCCCGTGTTTCCCCGCATCTCCCGGCATCTTCCCGCATCAACCCCGCTTGCCCCCCCCCCGCCCCCGCCCACTCCTAGACTGCTGGAGCGTGGTGGCGTCACCCTTCATCCCGCGGTACCTCTCCTCCCCGCGCTGTGTCACAATGGACGACGTCATCTACCTGCTCGCCGACAACACCAAGAAGACTTACCTGTACGACCCCGACGCCAACATGTGGCGCAAGGTGAGGCCCGCTAACGCTGCAGGCGTGGGGAGTGTTGGCTATACGGGGGATCTTTGTCTTTGGAGTGGTGGCGCAGCAGTCAGCGACCTGCGCTACGAGACCTGCCGAACCAAGTTCTTAGAGGTTAGGGGCAAGTGCTGTTAGCGAGCGCTTATGGAGGCCGGAACGGCACACGAGGGGGTGGGTGGGTGGCCAGCGCCACGCCCGACCGCCTTTGTCTCGCTAATGACGACGTTTACACATCGCACCACGTACTCATTTGAGGCTGAGTCGACCTAAGGGAGGCCCAGTACCGGTTCAGTTAATCTTCACCGGCGTTGGTGGCCGTGAGCGGGAATCGAACTCGGGTCGCCGGGTTGGTAGCGCAGCGCGCTAACTACTATACTCCCTATGCCCCCCCCCCCATGCCCCGGCCACACACACACGCACGCACACACACGCACGCACACACACGCACACACACGCGCACACACACACACAAACGCACGCACACACACGCGTAGGTGCAGCTGAAGCACAGCCTGCACGAGAACGGGGGGCTGGCGGTGGTGGGGGGCCGCCTGTACGTGACGGGCGGCCACTGGCAGGGCCTCGAGGGCCTCTACCGCGTGCTCATGGAGTCGTGCGAGGCGCGGCTCCGCGCCGCCACGTGGAGGCGCGAGGGGGCGCTGCCCCGCGCCTGGCTCTTTCACGACGCGTGCGCCGCCTTCGTCAACGTGGCCGCGTGGCCCCTCGTGCTCTCACACGCGGGGCCCGAGCAGAGCGGCTGACGGCCGGGGGGGCAGGGGGGGGGGTGCTGGGGGGGGGTGCTGGGGGGGGTGTAGGGGGGGGTGTGCTGGGGGGGTGCAGGGGGGGGTCCTCGGGAGGGGGGGGTGCAGGGGGGGGTGCGGGGGGGTGCAGGGGGGGTGTGCTGGGGGGGTGCTCGGGAGGGAGGGGTGCAGGGGGGGGGGGGTGCAGGGGGGTGCTGGTGGGGGGGCAGGGAGGTGCAGGGGGGGTGCAGGGGGGGTGCCAGGGTAGATTTCTTACATCGTAGGGGGGTGAGAGGCGGTTGTGGCGGCAGTGACTTGTGGGAGGAGGCATGTGGATTGGCCGTGGCTGACGTCACTGGTGAGCCCGTGCCTGACGTCACTGGTGAACCCGTGCCTGACGTCACTGTGTTGAGCCCGTGCCTGACGTCACTGGTGAACCCGTGCCTGACGTCACTGTGTTGAGCCCGTGCCTGACGTCACTGGTGAACCCGTGCCTGACGTCACTGTGGTGAGCCCGTGCCTGACGTCACTGTATTGAACCCGTGCCTGACGTCACTGTGGTGAGCCCGTGCCTGACGTCACTGGTCAACCCGTGCCTGACGTCACTGTGTTGAACCCGTGCCTGACGTCACTGTGGTGAGCCCGTGTCTGACGTCACTGGTCAACCCGTGCCTGACGTCACTGGTGAACCCATGTCTGACGTCACTGTGGTGAGCCCGTGCCTGACGTCACTGTGGTGAGCCCGTGCCTGACGTCACTGTGTTGAACCCGTGCCTGACGTCACTGTGGTCAACCCGTGTCTGACGTCACTGCGGTGAACCCGTGCCCTTGGCACGTGCCGGTTTCTCGGTCCGCCGCAGTTCGCGCTGTTCGTGGCGACCTTGTTTGTTCTGTCGCTTTCGGAGGTAACCCCCGTGCCCCCCCCCCTTTCACCCTCTCCCCCCACCCCCCAGTTTCCTCCTCCTCCCCCCACAAATAGTAATCTTTTTTTTACCGGCCACCTATACAAGGAGGCCATCATTTTTGCCAAATATAATCGTGACGGAATGTAAATATTGGTGTGAGTAGCGCCGAGACTTGCGTGCGGCAGCATGCGCGCGTGCGTGAGGAGCGGTGGCGCAGGAGTTGGCACCACCGCTAACTCCTGCCACGGCTCGCGTCAGTGGCGAGCGACCTCTGACCCGCTCCCGATGTCCTCCCGCGAGGTCGACTTGGCCTGAAATAACGACCTGGTGCATTTGTGTCGTCGTGTGAAACTTCAGCACCGCTGGAGGCAAAGGTGGCTGGGGCATTGTGCTGGGCCACGCTCCCGTCCCGTCGTGCTTTACTCAAATACGACAATTTGCGTGCAATATGACGGAGATCTTTGTGTCTGTGTGTGCGTGTTTGTGGACTGGTACTGTGGGGAGCGGTGGCGTAGCGGTTAGCGCCACGTTCAGCTACGAACCTGGTTCGATTCCCGCTCACGGCCAACACCGGTGACGATTATCTGAACCGGTCCCGGGCCTCCCCTAGGTCGACTCAGCCACAAATGAGTACCCAGTGCGATGTGTAAACATCGCCACTGGGGAGACAAAGGCGGTCGGGCGTGATGATGGCCATCCACCCCCTTTGTGTGCCGTGCCGGCCTGCATAGGTGCTCGCTAGCAGCACTTGCCCCTACAGTCTGTTAAGACTATACGGGGGATCTTTGTCTTTGAACTGGTACTGGGCTTCCCCTATGTCGACTCAGCCTCAAGTGAGTACCTGGTGCGGTGTGTAAACATCCCCACTGGGGAGACAAAGGCGGTCGGGCGTGGTGCTGGCCATCCACCCCCTTTGTGTGCCGTGCCGGCCTGCATAGGTGCTCGCTAGCAGCACTTGCCCCTACAGTCTGTTAAGACTATACGGGGGATCTTTGTCTTTGAACTGGTACTGGGCTTCCCCTATGTCGACTCAGCCTCAAGTGAGTACCTGGTGCGGTGTGTAAACATCCCCACTGGGGAGACAAAGGCGGTCGGGCGTGGTGCTGGCCATCCACCCCCTTTGTGTGCCGTGCCGGCCTGCATAGGTGCTCGCTAGCAGCACTTGCCCCTACAGTCTGTTAAGACTATACGGGGGATCTTTGTCTTTGTGTGTGTCTGTGTGCTTGTGCCGTGCACGCGTGATGTGGATTTCATGACGATGACGACGACTTTGGCTCGGCGGTGGAGCGAGCCAAAGTCGCAAGTTCTGAAGGTCGCGGGTTCAACTCCTGGTTGGGCATTGGGGGGATGACTCAGACCATCACCCCTCGCCATAGGAACGAGGAATTTCCACCGCTCGCCGCTCAGGGCTGTTACGCGGGATAGTAAATTACTGTATCGACCCTCATTTCTTGAGCAGGAAATCACGTTGTAATCGTGACATTTTCTTTGGTGACGATGTCGATTTTTACGATGTGAATTTTGATAACGGTAGATTCGATGATGGCAGTGATCGATACGCTGACGTCACTATAATAACTTTTTTTTTATTTGTCTCCGGTGACTAAATCTTTTTAATCGCTCAAATAAAAATCTGTAAAAGTAAAAAGATTTTCACGAACTAAGCTTAAGAATGTATAGCTTTCGTGACTGCAGGGATTCATATTCTTGGTTCTTTCGGTAAAGTCACGTAGTAGGGAAATAATAAAATCATAAAAATTAAACAATAAATTCTCTTTTTCAAATTTTCAAATTGTCTTGCTGTGGTTTTCACACCTGATGATGATTGCTTGTGTTGCAATCGAAACGTCGTGATACATTTATTGTTTATTTTTTATTTTGTTATTATTTCCCTTCTATGTGACTTCACCGAAAGAACCAAGAATATGAGCTTAAGAGGATTAACTTGGGGAGTCCAACCAGGTGGGGACCACGCGGTGGTGAGACGTTAACTCCATCGCCAGGTGTACAGGAGGTCGTGGGTTCGATCTCGACCCTGACGTCTGCTGCTGTATATTTGGACTTTGCGTGTCTCTCTTCTCGTGGTCGCGTTGATTTTTTCTCCGGATCCTCCGCTTTTGCCCTCCACATTTAGAGTATTTTTGCTGCTATAAATTTCCACGCGATGATAAGCCACTCGTTGAAGCTATCATGTGTGGCCAGGTCGCTTCTGAAACAGAGCTGTACAGCTTCGTAGGCCTTACCTGGTAAAATAAAATAAATACAAAATTGTTTGTGGTTCATTTGTGTTTAAGGCCCTCCCGTGAGGACCCCTCGCGTCCACAAGGGGGCGCCGAGTGCTCACCTGGCCTGGCGGGTGGGTGAGTAGGGGAGTGGGTGAGTGGGTGAGTGGGTGAGGTAGGCGGGTGGGTGAGCGGGTGAGTGGTTGAGGTGGGTGAGTGGGTGAGGTAGGTGGGTGGGTGAGTGGGTGAGGTAGGTGAGTGGGTGAGGTAGGTGAGTGGGTGAGCGGGTGAGTGGTTGAGGTGGGTGAGTGGGTGAGGTAGGTGGGTGGGTGAGGTAGGTGGGTGGGTGAGCGGGTGAGTGGTTGAGGTGGGTGAGTGGGTGAGGTAGGTGGGTGGGTGAGTGGGTGAGGTAGGTGAGTGGGTGAGCGGGTGAGTGGTTGAGGTGGGTGAGTGGGTGAGGTAGGTGGGTGGGTGAGGTAGATGGGTGGGTGAGCGGGTGAGTGGTTGAGGTGGGTGGGTGGGTGAGGTAGGTGGGTGGGTGAGTGGGTGAGGTAGGTGAGTGGGTGAGGTAGGTGAGTGGGTCAGTGGTTCACTTAGGTGAGTGGAGCGGGTGAGTGGGTGAGTAAGTTGAGTTGAGGTGAGTGGGTGGGTAGTTCAGTGAGTGGGTGAGTGTTTCAAGAGTGGGTGGATTTTGTGTTGAGTGAATTGAGGAGTGGGTGAGTGGGTGAGTTCGAGAGTGCGTAGATGGGTCGGTTCGTCAGTGAATGAGCGAGTGGGTGGATTGGTTGGTGAGATGATGAGTGGGTGGGTGAGCGAGAGGATGGGTGAGTGGAAGAGTGAGAGGGTTAGTGGATTGGTTTATGCGTGGGTGAGTTAACGGGTGAGTGGGTTTGTGGATTGATTGGTGAGTAAATGGGGGGGGGGGTTGATGGAGAGTGGGTGGGAGTATTATTGGGTGGGTGGGTGATTTGAAGAGGAGGTGAGTAGGTGAGTGGGTAGGTGAGGATGGTGAGCTGAATATAGAGATGGGAGGATGATGGATTGAGTCTGCAGCACACTGCTGCTGTTTGTGAGTGGCTGGGTACCTGAGTGAGGTAAGGTGAGTCGGTGGGTAACTGAGTGAGGTGGGTGAGTCGGTGGGTGGGTAGTTGAGTGAGGTAGGTGAGTGGCTGAGTGAGATGGGTGAGTGTGTGGGTGGGTGGCTGAGTGAGGTAGGTGAGTGGGTGGCTGAGCGAGGTAGGTGAGTGGGTAGGTGGGTAGCTGAGTGAGGTGGGTGAGTGTGTGGGTGGGTGGCTGAGTGAGGTAGGTGAGTGGGTGGCTGAGTGAGGTAGGTGAGTGGGTAGGTGGGTAGCTGAGTGAGGTGGGTGAGTGTGTGGGTGGGTGGCTGAGTGAGGTAGGTGAGTGGGTGGGTGGCTGAGTGAGGTAGGTGAGTGGGTAGGTAGATGGGGAAGACAGCTGTGGGTGAGGTGGGAGGAGGAGGAGGAGGCGGACCCGTGGTTGCTCACTCCGCGTGTTTAAAAGAGGAGGCGGGTCCGCTGCAACTCAGAGCCCGGTGATGTTGGCAGTGACGTTTGCTGCGTTTGGAGGCTACATCTACAAGATCACAAGCGCACACCTCCGTGCTTGATTAACTAATTCAACAATTTATTCGCGCGCGAGTCAATTGACTCGGACGGTGTCCGGTCGTCAAACACCACCACCCCCATCTCCCCCACACCGCGCGGGGGAGAGCGGAGGAGGAAGACCCGGAGTGGATTTATCACGGCCAAGGAACCCGAGGCAAACAGGACCCCGACGGAGGTGAATGGCGCGCTGAGCAGGTGGACGAGAGGTTGTAGGAGGCGAAACGAGAAGCTGACGAGGTGGACCAGAGTCGTCGTCGTCCCTCGCCCTGGATGAGGTGTGGACAATGATGGCAAGAGGAGGTCCCCTGCTGCTGCTGCTGTTGGCCACGCTGGTGTGGCCAGCGGTCTGTGAGGCCGCGCGGGGAGATGGAGCCGCGGGTGGAGGAGGTGGACGAGGTGGAAGGGGCGACGGAGGAGGTGGAAGAGGAGACGGAGGAGGTGGAAGAGGGGGGAGGACGAGAAGCAGGACGGTGGCGGCGGCGGCGGCGGCGATGAGTCGCGACCTCGCAGCGTTACAGCAGAGGACGGAGATGGGGAACGGCACGGGGAGCGCCGAGGTGAGAGTGTGGGGAGAGTAGAGAGAGAGAGAGAGTGGGGAGAGTAAAGAGAGAGTGGGGAGAGTAGAGAGAGAGTGGGGAGAGTAGAGAGAGAGTGTGGAGTGGATTGAGCTGCAATATGGGAAGGTGAAGTTCTGGGACTTCATGAGAAATCTCCTGCATGAACGATGCTGATCCCTCTCTCACTACACCACACTCAACACTCCACACTCACACACACATACACACGCGCACACACACACACGTACACACACACCACACACCACACAAACCACTCACCACACACACACACCACACACACCACATCCACACACCATACCCACACACCACACACACACACCACACACACACGCACACACCACACACACCACACTCCCCACCCACGCCACACACACAACACACTCCCCACCCACACCACACACTCCCCACCCACACCACACTCACCACACCCACACCACACACTCCCCACCCACACCACACACGCACACCACCCACACCACACACTCCCCACCCACACCACACTCACCACACCCACACCACACACTCTCCACCCACACCACACACACAACACACTCCCCACCCACACCACACACTCCCCACCCACACCACACACACGCCACACACCCACACCACACTCTCCACACACACACCACACACTCCCCACCCACACCACACACACGCACACACTCGCCCCCCGTGTTGCCCGTAGAAGGTGGACCCGCGAGGGAGCTGGGTGAACTTCATCGCTCACTCGGAGCAGCATGTCAAGCAGCAGCAGCAGCAGCTGGTGGGGCGGCGCAGGGGCAAGACGCAGGTGATGGTGGTGGGGGCGGTGGTGGAGATGGTGGTGGCGGCGGTGGTGGTGGCGGTGGTGGTGGCGACGGTGGTGGTGGCGGCGGTGGTGGTGGTGGTGGCGGCGGTGGTGGTGGAAGAGATGGTGGCGGCGGTGGTGGCGACGGTGGTGGTGGCGGCGGTGGTGGAGATGGTGGCGGCGGTGGTGGTGGAAGAGATGGTGGCGGCGGTGGTGGCGACGGTGGTGGTGGCGGCGGTGGTGGAGATGGTGGCGGCGGTGGATGGAGGCGGTGGTGGTGGCGGTGGAGATGGTGGTGGCGGCGGTGGTGGTGGCGGTGGTGGTGGTGAAGAAGATGTTGGTGGTGGTGAAGATAGTGGAGATGGTGTAGAGATGGTGGTGGAGATGGTGGTGGAGATGGTGGTGGTGGTGTAGATGGTGGTGGAGATGTTGGAGATGTTGGAGATGGTGGTGGTGGCGATAGTAGTGTTGTAGATGGTGGTGGCGGTGGTGGTGGAGATGGTAGTGACACAATAGGGGGCATAGGTGGTGCATCGGCCAGTCATCTCAGTCATCTCAGTCAGTCGACCCGTGGAACCTAGGGCTGGCTCGTGACCTCCTGCCGGCGGGCGTTCGACACTTCACGTGGCCTCAACGTGCACGTAGCCTGGCACGAGCGCCGTGGTGATGTCACTGCCACTTAGTGGCGAATTGCGGTTGTTGGTGGTGGTGGTGGTGGCGATGGTTGTGTAGTTGGTGGTGGAGTGTGTACTGCAGCGTTCTTCGTTGCACGGCCCGCAGGCCACTAGCGGCCCCTGGTGGCCTTTAGTGCGGCCCCATCATCGTCGTGTTGCTGTTACAAACTCCCAATGGTTGCAAATGGCGCGGCGGCCCTCGCCACCCTGATGATGTCTTATCGGCGAAAGTGGCCACCCCCTCCGAAAATTAGCGAAGGATACTGGACTAGTGCAACGGTTACCTCGCTGCGCTACGGATCCGGCAAGCCGAGTTCAATTCCCGCTCATAGCCAACACCACTTACACCAGTGACTATTGTCTGAATGGGTTCTAGGCCTCCTCTAGGTCGACTCAGCCTCAAATGAGTACCTGGTGCGGTGTGTAAACATCGCTACTAGGGAGACAAAGGCGGTCAGGCGAGGTTTCATAGGCTCTCGTTAACAGCACTTGCCCCAACAGTCTGTCAAGGCTAGTCGGGGGATCTTTGTTTTTGATGGCAGTGGTGATGGCAATAACGATCGTGATGGTAACGATGATGGCGGTGGTGATGGCAATAATAATAATGATGATAGTGATGATGGTATAATTCATGTGATGGCATCTCAAGACGCTGTGCACATGAACAGAAAACGTTAATTTTCTAGACAGGAAGTGCCAGGCCGAGGCGGCGAGGAAGGTCTCGAGGGAGAACTCGAATTGTAGCAGGGAGCCGGCAGCACGGGTGTCTGAAGGAAAGAGATTTCGGGCCCTGGGGGGCAGCAGAGGAGAAGAAGCGACATCCCATTGGGCCAATGTTGAGTGGGGACTTCGACAGAAACTCTTGGTTTGGGCAGTTGATATTATGTGGAGTGAGATGAGAGGGGAGAGGTAGGAGAGTGCGTGGAGGGTGAGTAGAGTGAGATGAGTGGGGAGAGGTAGGAGAGTGTGTGGAGGGGAGTAGAGTGAGATGAGTGGGGAGAGGTAGGAGAGTGCGTGGAGGGTGAGTAGAGTGAGATGAGTGGGGAGAGGTAGGAGAGTGCGTGGAGGGGAGTAGAGTGAGATGAGAGGGGAGAGGTAGGAGAGTGCGTGGAGGGGAGTAGAGTGAGATGAGAGGGGAGAGGTAGGAGAGTGCGTGGAGGGGAGTATAGTGAGATGAGAGGTCGGAGAGTGTGTGGAGGGGAGTAGAGTGAGATGAGAGGGGAGAGGCAGGAGAGTGCGTGGAGGGTGAGTAGAGTGAGATGAGTGGGGAGAGGTAGGAGAGTGCGTGGAGGGGGGTAGAGTGAGATGAGTGAGGAGAGGTAGGAGAGTGCGTGGAGGGGAGTAGAGTGAGATGAGAGGGGAGAGGTAGGAGAGTGCGTGGAGGGGAGTATAGTGAGATGAGAGGTCGGAGAGTGTGTGGAGGGGAGTAGAGTGAGATGAGAGGGGAGAGGCAGGAGAGTGCGTGGAGGGTGAGTAGAGTGAGATGAGTGGGGAGAGGTAGGAGAGTGCGTGGAGGGGGGTAGAGTGAGATGAGTGAGGAGAGGTAGGAGAGTGCGTGGAGGGGAGTAGAGTGAGATGAGAGGTCGGAGAGTGCGTGGAGGGGAGTAGAGTGAGATGAGAGGGGAGAGGTAGGAGAGTGCGTTGAGGGTGAGTAGAGTGAGATGAGTGGGGAGAGGTAGGAGAGTGCGTGGAGGGGGGTAGAGTGAGATGAGTGAGGAGAGGTAGGAGAGTGCGTGGAGGGGAGTAGAGTGAGATGAGAGGGGAGAGGCAGGAGAGTGCGTGGAGGGGAGTAGAATGAGATGAGAGGGGAGAGGCAAAAGAGTGCGTGGAGGGGAGTAGAGTGGGATGAGAGGGGAGAGGCAGGAGAGTGCGTGGAGGGGAGTAGAATGAGATGAGAGGGGAGAGGCAAAAGAGTGCGTGGAGGGGAGTAGAGTGGGATGAGAGGGGAGAGGTAGAAGGGTGCGTGGAGGGGAGTAGAGTGGGATGAGAGGGGAGAGGTAGGAGAGTGCGTGGAGGGGAGTAGAGTTAGATGGGAGGGGATAGTCCAGGGAGGGATTGGAGTAGTTTTGTTATGTGGTAATGTCAGTGACAATGGTGTTGCTACAAGGAGACTGGTCCCTGTCATAGTAATGTGGAATGTCCACCACTGGTTCTGGGCTGCCAACTGCACAGCCTCACGTTCATTTGAGCAGGGTCAACATTTGACCTTCGACCTTTAAAAAGTACTCGATGATGATGATGGTTCTGATGAAGGTGATGTCTGATGATGGTTGTGATGAAGATGACCACATTTGATGATGGCGGTATTATTTAGTGATAATATAATAGATGATGATGACGATGATCATGGCGATGTCTGATAATGACAGTGATGATGATGATGGTGGTGATGACAGTGACGGTGAAGACGATTAGATCTAAAATTATGTATTGCTCCCTCTGCTTCCTCCAGGCGGGTCCCCGTGGACCCCCAGGCCCCAGTGGCCCTCCTGGTCCCCCGGGTCCCCCTGGGCTCCCGGGGCCCTCGATCACCCAGGAAGCTCTGCTCAAGGAGTTTGGTGGACTGATCAGAGGTGAGTGGACGCGAAGTCTCCGCGAAGTCTTTGCTCGCGACGCAATCGCTTCTCCCCAGCGCCCGGCCTCTCGGCAGCGGAGGCCCTGGGCAGCCTTCGTCTCCGGCCTCCACTCTTCATTTGGCGAGATGTTAACTACCTCGCCTGGTGTGCAGGAGGATGTGGGCTCGATCCCGATCCTGATGCCTTTATATTTGGAGTTTGCGTGTCTCTCTCCAAGTGGTCCCATAGATTTTTATTCAGGTTCTCCGGTTTTTCCCTCCACATCTAGAATCAACATCACGCTTTTAACTGGCTGCTATAAAGTTCCACGTGATGATAAGCCACTTCGTTGAGCTCTCATTTGTGACCAGGTTGCTTCTGAAAAAGAGCTACATAGCTCAGTGGGCCTTACCTGGTAAAATACAACAAGAATAGTTCCGTTTAGTAAAAAATCTAAAATATTTTTTGTTTATTTCCATCAGCGCCCACCCTTCCTTCAGCTCCTCGAGCGACCGAATCCTCGGGCTTCCATCTCTCCCTCACCACGTCCGTTCTTTTCCCATCGCGTCCTTGATCGTCAACCCGGCCGCTCGCGGGTCGCGTCCAACCCAGCTGTGCCCTCGCTCTCTCTCCTTCCGATCAATTCCGTTCATCGCTCTTCATCGTTCGCGATGTCTCCGTTGGTCTCCTTCTGGGCCAGCTCACTCTCGGCACCCCTCCTCCACATCCCCATCACGAATTGCCAAACTGAAAATTATTAAAAACGATAAGCTAATTGCCGTTTTATTGATGAGTTTGTCATTTCCTCGAATATTTTTCCAGGAGTTTAAATATTACCGCAACGAGCGTGAAATCGGACGTTGCGATCATCGCGGTTCTTGCACCGCACGATAAATCGCTACGACAACCGCAGACTACGCACGACCCTGCAACCTCCCCGCGACTCGCGACCTCCCGTGTGACCTTTCCGTGACTTCTCTGCAAACTTCCTGTGACCTTTGACCCTGCCCGTGTCCCTTGATCTCCTTTGTATGACCCTTCCGTGAGCTTTCTGTGACATACTCTTTGGTTCTTTTGGTAAAGTGACGTAGGTAAAGAAAAAAGAAAAGAAAAAAGTAAAAATAAATAAATTAAATCACGACGTTTCGATTGCAACAAAAGCAATCATCATCAGGTGTGACAACCACAGCAAGAAATATTACTGAAGTGGGAGAGAAGCCCGAGTCAAGGGGTTTATACTGGGCAGGGTGGGGGGGGGGGAAGTGGGCGGGGCTGTAGGTGCGCGGGGGGGGGGGGCCAAGCATCTTCAACGATTGCCGCCAAAACGGATGGTGGCACTCACAACAAAATAGCCACACTGCTGAACGCTGAGGATGTAATTAACTCGGTAAAATAGACCAGTATCCGGTAAATAAGATGTAACAACTTTGAACTGTTAAATTTTACTTGGTTAATAACATTTTTCCAATGATTGCTCAATTTGTATCCGTCCTCTCGGTTGAAGTTATGTCTATGTTTATATATCTGGATGGCTTCGTGAACAAATCTTTGATGGTAGCCAGACGGCTTGCAGAGCACTTTGGTCTCGGAGAAAACAATATCATGAGAGCCCACAGCGTTATAGCAGTAAAACCCCTTAGACCCTCCTTTGACCTCCCGTGACCCCTTTGCGACCCCCGTGACCCCTAGACGCGGCGCGACGGCGAGCGTCACTCCTCCTCCGCGAGAGCTGCCCCGAGTGCCAGCCCCTCCCCTCGCTGGGACCCCCGCACAGAGGGGGGCCCGACCTCCTCCCTCTCCTCGGAGAGGCGAGGGCCCCCCTGCCACGTGCCAGGGGGCCCGGCGCCCCTCCGTCGTCGCCCCCCCCGCCGCTGCTGCTGCAGGAGGCGTTTCACTGCAAGCTGAGCGCGGCGCTGAGCGTGAGGAAGAGGTCGGCCAAGCAGCTGCACGGGTTCCACACGGTGAGGGAGAGACCGCCCCGTCGCTCCTCCGCATCGCTCCACCTCATCCCTCCTCCACATTACTCAACCTGGTCGCTTCACCTCGTCGCTCTCCATATCTCTCGTACTTGGTCAACGTCGAAAAGATTCCCTGATCAAATGACTCCCAAAGAGCATCGAGGCGGGCACCTCTCACCCTCGGTGACCTACACCCACCCTCTCTCCTTCGGTGACCTACACACACCCTCTCACCCTCGGTGACCTACACACACCTCTCACCCTCGGTGACCTACACACACCTCTCACCCTCGGTGACCTACACACACCCTCTCACCCTCGGTGACCTACACTGACCCTCTCACCCTCGGTGACCTACACCCACCCTCTCTCCTTCGGTGACCTACACACACCCTCTCACCCTCGGTGACCTGCACACACCCTCTCACCCTCGGTGACCTACACACACCTCTCACCCTCGGTGACCTACACACACCCTCTACTCGGTGACCTACACACACCCTCTCACCCTCGGTGACCTGCACAGACCCTCTACTCGGTGACCTGCACACACCCTCTCACCCTCGGTGACCTACACACACCTCTCTCCCTCGGTGACCTGCACACACCTCTCTCACCCTCGGTGACCTGCACACACCCTCTCACCCTCGGTGACCTGCACACACCCTCTCACCCTCGGTGACCTACACACACCTCTCACCCTCGGTGACCTACACACACCCTCTCACCCTCGGTGCGCCGAGACAGGTCCTGGAGAGGATTAATTCACGTCTGTGTCCGCCGCGTGTCGTTTGTGTGTCTGTGCGTGCAGCCAGTAAGTCAGGGTGCGTTTGTGCGAGGGGCAGGCATGGATCTGACGAGGGGACGATTCACGGCTCCCGTCGCCGGCATCTACCAGTTAGCGGCTCACGTCCACCTCGGTAACGAGCCACCATCCTTACACTCAGCCCCCCCACCCACCCCCTCCACTCAGCCCCCCCCCACCCCCTATACACAGCCCCCCCACCCCCTATACACAGCCCCCCCACCCCCTCCGCACAACCCCCCCCCCCACCCCCTCTACTCAGACCCCCCCACCCCCTCCACCCCCCCCCCACCCTCTTCACACAGCCCCCCCACCCCCTCCACACAGACCCACCCCAACCGTCACATACGCACGTGACCCGCACCCTATCACTGAACAATAAGAACTAATTAATTTCTTTATTTTATATTGCCTCATCGTTCATGCAAATTTGCGCCTCAAATCGCTTATAATTATTTTGTTTTAATTCGAATGAAATTTCGCTTCTCGTCCTAGTTTTCACGTTTCTGTTTCAACGGATGAAGGTGAAATAATCGGGAGCACATCCCCTACTCTATACACACACCTGCCCCCCTGGAGCCTCCATACCTCACCCACCTCACTCACCTGCTCCCCCTTCCCCCCTCCCCACAGAGCGGACGGAGGGGAAGAATAAGGGTCGAAGTTCACGGGGTCGTGAGGTCGCGCGTGTCCTCGTCTGCGTTGACGCCCTCTGCCCCCAGCACAGGTGAGGGAAATGACCCCTGACCTGTATACACGACCCCACAAAGTTCACGGGAGTCCAAGCAAGGGGAATGGGGGTTTAACGAGGTCACTGGGGTCAACCTGGAGATGTTGAAACGACGTGGAACCAAAATGCTGTTGCACTTCTTTCGCACCGTACGTAGCCAACCGTGCCAATCGCAGGTGGCAGAACCCGATGGGTGAGCAAACGAAGCTCCGTATTCCCCGAGGTCATTGACGCGAGTGCAGAGCAGAATCGGACGAAGGAGCCCTTGTACACCCCACTTATGCCTCGGCAAGGTAAGGTCATTTACCCTTTTTACCGGGTAAAAGGGTAAAGGTGTCGACATGCCAAGGGGTAAGGTAGAGGGTAGGGTAAAGGTAGCGTGAAGTGTTACCCGGTAGGGTCAAGGTAGCGCGAAGTATTACCCGGCAAATACCCTGTTTACCGCTCGCTAAAAGCTCCGTGGCGCAGTCCGTGGCCTCCATTTAAAATTGGAATAATCGAGAGTATTCTATATGAATAAAGCGTTCTACCTCGCATTTACCTGTTATAAACCTTGTTCATGTGTAGTACCCCAGTAATTACACTGTAAGCGAGTAGCTTGTATGGGGTAAGGGTAAAAGGTAGGGTAAAGGTAGACTCGTTGCTTTTGACCTTTAACCTTGCTAAAGGGTAAAAGGTAGGGTAGAGTGATTGTATTGTGGTAAGGTAAAAGGTAGGGTCAAGGGAGGCTCGTTGTTTTTACCTTACCTTGCCGAGGCCTACACCCCACGGCGAGCACACTTTGCGATCGGGAGACGTTCCACGGGCGGAAACGCCGTCGGTTTGAACACGAGTTTAGAGTTTTTTGCCACTATACACTTCCACATGATAAGCCGTTTCATTGGGCTATCATTTGTGGCCAGGTCACTTCTGAAAGAGAGCTATATACTGCTCCGTGGGGCCTTACCTGGTGAAATGAAAATAATAATTTAGTTTAGATTGACGCCACTCGCTTTGGAACGGTCTGAGAGGCGCAGTCCCGAAAGCCGTCTGCTTCACCGCACAGCCCTCTGAATGCCGTGGGTTGACCCAAGTCCGGCTAAGCGAAACGTCGCTCACGGCCCAGCGTCCGGGAGGCTTTTCTCCGACGGACGCGTAAAAATTTACCCGTGCACACGACCGCCGCGGGCCCGCAGGTCTCCAGGTCACTGTGAAGAACCTCACTGAACGCATTCCCTGCCGCTTGCCGAAGAGTTGTAGCTCCTTTCGCGACGCTTGAACAACGTGTGGGGCTTTCGTCTAAAAATGTTAAGATTCACTTTTTTCTTTTTTGGGTCGGATCACTGTGCAAGGCAAATGTTGTTGTGTCGTGCACCCTCCTTCACCTGTCGCGGCTAATTCATGAAGTTGTGAATGCGGGGTTCCTACCGCCGTCTCTGCGGGGGCTGTAAGCAGCTGATGAGCACCACCGGCACGGCCGCCAGCCCGCGATGCTCCGTTTGGGCAGGAAATCGCTCGCTCTCTCTCTCTCTAACATCGAGTTAATCGGGTAAAACAAATAAATAAATGTACACATATTTATATACACGCATGTATATAAATAAATGCCACCCTCCCTCTCCGAGCCTTTGAAGATGAGATTTTGTCAAAACAAAACAAGTCGATAAACAAATCCGCAAGTGAACAAAAACAAACCAACCTCCCTCCTCTTCAGACAGACGCCGCCCCCCCCCCCCCAAACGTATCCTGGGGGTGAGTTTGTGGGGTAGGGGGGTGAGTGAGGAGCTGATGGTGAGGGTTATGGCGGGAGTGTAGCGGTGAGTGCGCTGCGCTACGAAACCCGCCAACCAGCGCTCCATTCCCGCTCACGGCCAACACCAGTGACGATTATATCTGTGCCGGTTCTGAGCCTCCCCTAGGTCGACTCGGCCTTAAATGAGTACCTGGTGCGGTGTGGGGAGCCCAAGGCGGCCGTGCATGGTGTTGGCCACTCACCCACCATCTCGTGTGCCTTGCTCATATTCATAGGTGCTCACGAACAGCACTTGCCCTAACAGTCTGTTCAAGCTAATTGGGGGATATTTGTCTTTGATGGTGGTGGTCGTGGTGATGATGATACGTGGTGGTTATGGATGTGGTGGTGATAGTGGTGGTGGCAGTAATAATAATGATGGTGATGAGAGTAATATTGCAGGTCTCTTCGTAGGTGCTTGCTGACGGCACTTGCCCCAACCGTCTGTTAAAGGCTACATGGGTGATCTTTGTCTTTGCAGCTCCCTGGAGGGGCGTGCGGGGATGGAGGGTCGCGCTCTCTCCATGTTCGCCAGCGGCCTCCTGCAGCTCCAGGTGCCTCCAGACGCTCGGCTCCCCTACCTTGTGCTGCACAGAGACAGCTGCCACTAGGGGGGGGGGTCCCTTGCCTACAAAGCAGCAGGGCATTGAAATTCTCTCGTGCCATTCAGCACCATTGATATGCAGGTTGCTGGACTTGCCAAACATCTGGCAGGAGCAGCATCAGCCATCCTCCACTCTTGGTGGGGGTGGCCACTTCCTCTCATGTCACATTTCCAGATAAACTCTAATAAATGTGGATTAATCTGAAAATCGGACACATTCCACATATCCACACACCCTGCTCTGTAATCCGTGTGTGCATTTTAGGGTTGTTAAAGTCGTTTAGCGTTACTAATAACCGCAGGAAAAACTACGGTAAGAGATGGGTGACTGGTTTGCCGCACAAATCAAAAGTAGTTTAAAATCCGTGATGAATATCTGATCCGATACAAGGCCTCCCCAAAGTCGACACAACCAAAAATTGAGTAGCTACCTGGTACAGTGTGGAAACCTCTATCTCCGGGGAGACAAAGTCGGCCAGGTGTGGTGTTGACCACCACCACCACCACTCCTTCGTGCACCATTCTGACCTCAATCAGTGCATGCTATAACAGCACTTGCCCCAAAAGTGTATTGAGACTATACGGGGGATCTTTGTGTCTGTGTGTGTGCAGGCTGGGCAGCAGGTGACCGTCTTGGTAGAGAACGGCTTTGGCAGCGAGATCACTGTGCGCAACGAATCCAGTTTCGGCGGCGTGCTGATGGGTGTGTGACGACGAGTCGGGCTCACCACGATCTCCGCACCACCTCCTCGCCCTCACCCCCCACCACCACCATCACCACGGAAGGGGGGTGGCAACGATGGCGAAAACACATGAGCAACAACTAACCAACGTTCGCTGTTAAGTGGCGGTGACGTCACCACCGTTTGTGCCAGGCTAGGTGCACTTTGAGACTCTCGCGCAAAGTGTCAAAGGCCTACCAGCCGGTCACCGGACAGGAGCCATGGGTTGACTGACTGAAGCGACTGGCAGATGCACCAGCTGTGCCCCCCACTGTGCCACCTCGCCGCGTTTTATCCGCCCGGCGCTCCGCTCGTTGTTGTGAGCGTCGCTCCCCTGCCCTCCGCTGCTGTTGGAGGGCGACTGCCTCCAACTGCCCAGCAGCGTCCTTCACGAGCCTCCTCCATGGAGGCCGATCTTGACACCGCTGGTACCAGTCATTTCACAGAGAGAACAATTTCACATTTCGCCTCCGAGATGAGACACACGTCCTGTTAGCGAGTGCCTATTATGGCTGGCATGGCGCACGCTGGGTGGACAGCACCATGCCTGGCCCACTTTGCTGATTTGTATGCACTGCAGCAGCTACTCGTATAAGGTTGAGTCGACCTAGGTTAGGCCCAGGACTGATTATGATATCACTTGCACCTCATTTTTAGTCAGAAGGGAGGCGAACTCTAGTCCCTGGGTTCACAGTGCGGTGCGCTAACCACTGCGCCACCGCTCCACCCGTTGGTCGCACACGCAGCACTGTGTGACGGTGGCGTCACCACGGTGCTTGTGCCATGCTAGGTACGCACACAGTTATTTACACGTGATGATAAATCAACAGTCTGCCTGTTTAGAACCAACAATGTAGCAGTGCTCGTCAATTTTTGATGACCCCAAGTGGTGGAAATTCCACATTCCCATGACGGGGACCAGTTAGCCATATAATTGCAATTGTTGACTTCCCACAAAGTGGTACTAATTGTATCGATCCTGGAGAGATGATTGCCTTAGTTGAGCCGCATGTGAAAATAGTTTGGGTTAGGGATAGAGGTAGAGTTGGTGCTAGGGGTTACTTTAAGTGTTAGGTAAGGTTAGTGCTAGGGGTTACTTGAAATGTTAGGGATAGAGGTAGGGTTAGTGCTAGGGGCAACGAACTTTTTATTTTACCAGGTAAGGCCCACAATGAACTATATAGCTCTTTTTCAGAAGTGATCTCGCCACAAACGATAGGTCAACGAAGTTGAACCTTATAGCAGCCAAATACTCTGAACGTGTGATGTTGATTTTAAATTTGAAGGGAAGACCCGGAGGAAAATCCACGCGACCACGGGAAAGAGAGAGAGAGCGACACACGCCAACTCGAAATATACAGCAGGCGTCAGGGTCGAGATCGAACCCACGACCTTCTGTATACCAGGCGAGGTAATTCAAATCTCGCCGCCGTGGCGTGAGGGATAATGGATGGTGGTGTGGGTGTCGTCTTTCGACCATACTTCACCACGCTGGGCCACGTGCGTGGGTCGGTGAAGACGGGAAACGGACGCGGGTGCCGATATCGCTCGCCGCTTACGCTGGCCGTGGCCGGGAATCGAACTCGGGGTCGGCGGGTACTCGGCACAGTCCGGCTCACCGCTGCCCTCTCTTTTGTTTTAAATGACGGTTATTATTTGTGTTAATATTATTGTTTATAATTAATATCGATGACCTTACTGCCTATTCTATTGTGTTTTTGATGTAAATCTGTTCTTAGCGTGGGTCATGTGAACTTTGATGAATGATGCGAGTGGATGTTACACGTGATTAATTAAATTGGTATCTATACTTCCGCGTGATTGGTCAATGCGTGGTGCTGGGGTTGGGGGGGTATAGCTGCTGCTGTCGCCACACATCGCCATCGCCGCCTTCCTTCTGCCAGATCCCCACAATTTGTTGCAAAGTGGGCACCTGATATCCCACAGGACCGCTCCCAAGTCCCATCACCGACCACCTGGTTGCAGGCCGTCCCAATTGTTACACAGCACGAGGCGTGGGGCGACGTGCTGTTGTCATTGGCGAGACCGTGGCGCTTGTGTTGTACCCTCGCCGAACATGGCCCAACAGTAGTCTCACTCGACTTGTTGACGTCCAATTGCACGTGGCAATTCGGGTGCATCACTGGCACCCTCAAGTCGACCCCGACGCCCTGGTCGCCCGTGCTGACACAAACCTCGTCCCGGGAAGTCCTGCGAATCCAGAAAACAGTGACCGTCCCATTCACCAGGACCTCAACGACGTCCCTCGTCATCGCTTGAAGTCACCCCAAGCCCCTTTTGGACCCATGTGCTTAACCTTAAACAATGCGAATTAAATCCAGATGAAGCTTGGAGAGCTGAATGGAGTTCAAAAGAACTCGCAAACACCTTGTCAAAGACCCAACGCAGAATTATCCCTGGGTTTGATCGTCCATGAAGGTCATGGTCCAACATAAACCGCATCCACACAAACCATGGCAGTAGATGCGGATACCTGATGCACAAATGGAAAATTACAAACTCTGCAGTGTGCGACGCAAAGGCCCAATCCATAAATATGAAGAAGGCATCACCAATACACTCCACTGCTCCTAACGTGGTTAAACGACAAAAAAAAAGTGTATTTCACCAGGCAAGGCCCACTGAGCTATACAGCTCTTTTTAGAAGCGACCTGACCCACAAATTAAATCTCAACGAAGTGGCTTAGGGGCCATCCCTAAATGACGTCACGCACCTGGGGGGGGGGGTGTGAGACATTTGTGACGATGTGTGACGAGGGTGGGGGGGGGTTGGAGAAATTGACGTCAAATCAAAATGCGCAACTTTATAAATACATATAGACAACACACGTTCTACTTAATTAATTCGACTTTTTAATAAATGTTTTCTCCCACAACATCAGAGTGCAGCATATTTGAGGGGGGTCAGACTTTTTGTGACGTCGTGTGACGAAGGGGTGGGGGTCAAAAATCCTCCAAAATCGCGTGACGTCATTTATGGACTGCCCCCTTATCATCGTGTGGAAATGTATAGCAGCCAAATACTCTAAACGCGTGACATTGATTCTAAATGTGGAAGGAAAAACTGGAGGCCTCGGAGAAAAATCCACGCAGCCACGGGGAGAGAGACACGCGGGCTCCAAATACACAACAGGCGTTAGGGTCGGGATCGGGATCGAACCCACAACCTCCTGTACACCAGGCGAGGGAGTTAACATCTCACCACTGTTTATCTGACTTGACCACCTGAATGCGACATTGTAGCTTGGTGCTCTGCATCTGCATCAGCACCCAAACCAGAGGAGGAGGAGCAGAGGTAGCGAGACGCGGTGTGGTGAAGAGGAGCCGTGTGGAGGTGGCCAAGGCAAGAAGCCGCGAATGGGGGACCTCAAGGACCCGGGGATTAGGGGAGACAATCTTCTTCTCTCGTACAGCTGCTGGTTAGTCAAGCTCAGACAAGCGAGCTAGGAGCAGGGCAGTCGTGTAATCGCCTCGATGTCCCCTTCGTCTTTGTGGATCGCATGCCTGTCAAGCCCTTATCAGTGCCCATCTTATTACAGACCAATTCAGACCGTATTGGTCAACCCCGTGCCTTTATGAATCTCAAAGTTCAACGTACAAAGTCCCATCATCACAAGGGAGAAACACAGACACAAAAACATGTTTTGCCCGTATTGAAACGGCTGTACGTCGTATGGACCTGGAAATGCAATTTCCTTGTACAAGAATACCGCTTAAACAGTATGGGTTGACAGGTACGGTATAGTAGTGTAGTCAAACGTACAAAATCAGCAGGGGATCAAATATTTTTTAAATCCTTTATTAAATCCTTTATATTAAGTTCGCTTGCTTGCGTGCGTGCTTGCTTATGACCGTGCAAATCTTGCGGTCGTTTTTTTAACCCACTTCCCGTGATCCAATCGAGCTGACATTTTGCACACAGACTCGTTGTGCGAGACAATTAATGTTTGTGAAAAAAATTTTCCAAAATTTTACACTGTTTAGGGAAAACAATTTAAATATTTAATTACCAATTGCTTAATGCTGGCAGACAATCATCTGACCCATAGGTGGCAGCCATCTCAAGCCAGAGGACGAGAGGACTCTAGCCGCCACGCATATAAAGGATTTAGAGTGAAAAACTTTGTTTTTACGGGTTATACTTATTTCCCTCACTGTATGGGTTGACAGCTGTGGGTGCACCGCCTGTTCTGGATGGCAAAAGTCGCACACCGCTGCCCGAGAGCGGATTTACAAATCGCGGTTCTCACCGCGGCCTCGCGGGCGCCCGTAGCGCCGACGTCACCCGATTCGTGTACGGGCAGCGTGGAGCCACGCAGCGGCGCACGGGGACCGGGAACCCGGGAGAGGGGACCAGGTCACGGGACTCGGGACCCCGGGAGAGGGGACCAGGCCAGGGGACTCAGGACCCCAAGACAAAGGAGCCAGGACTGCAGGGAAGAAGTGGACCCGAGGAGACGGACGCAGGCCTCCATGACGGGGACTTGAGACCCCGAGAACAGGGACCCCAGGACCCCAGGTAACCAGGGCAGGGACTCTGGGAACCTCGGCTCAGACACGGGGTGCGTAACCCAAGGCTCGGACCTGTGACCTTAGCAGCTGCACCCAAGCCCAGGCCTCTACCCAGGCGCAGTTTGGCTCCGCGCGCTCGTCCCGTGTGGGGGGCGCGCTGATGCCCGGGGGCCTTCACGCGTGGTCCCCTTCCCGTGCCGTGCAGGGGGTCACCCTTTGGGGGTCGTCCTCCCGCGCTACAGCAGGCAAGGGGTCACGGGCGAGGGAGCCGCCACGGTGAGACGAGTGTTGGGGAGGCAGAGGGGGCCATGCCCCTCTCGCTGCTGCTGCCGCGCCGCGGGAAGCTGCCGCGACCCCGCTGCGCCACGCTCTGCGCCATCTGCCTCATCGCCCTCGCCGCCGTCTCCTTCTACCTGAAGCCGTGCGCCCCGGCCCCGGGGGGACACGATGGGGCCTCGGCGCGCGAGCCTCGCCACGCCGGGGCCGGAGGAGATGACGACGGCGGCGGCGGCTGCGGCAAGTCCCGCGGCGAGTCGGCGCCGCATCTTCAGGCGCCGCTGCCTCAGTCGCAGCCGCGGGTTTCGGCCTTCCTCGCCGTGCTGGTCATGACGGGGCCTCGCTACACGGAGCGCCGCGATATTATCCGCAGCACGTGGCTGGCGGAGCACGGAGGAGGTGGTGGTGGTGGTGGCGATGTGATGGCGCGCTTCGCCGTGGGCACGCACGGCCTGAGCGCCGTGGAGGCGCGCGGACTGGCCGAGGAGCAGGAGCGACACGGCGACCTGCTGCTGCTGCCCGAGCTGCGCGACTCGTACGAGAACCTGACGCGGAAGCTGCTGCACATGATGGCGTGGCTGGGGCAGAACGCCGACTTCGAGTTTGTGCTCAAGGTGAGAGATAGAGAGTGAACCGTGGGTCACTTCCCGTGACCACCACCCCCCTCCACGCCACGGTGCGTGACTTACTGATCCCAACATTGGAACCTCATTTTCCAGTAAAAAATATGATGATTGTTTTTTTACCCTTTTATCTGGCAACAAAACTGACAACTTTTTTTTTTGACAAGGAGTCATGTTTGCATAGACCACAATACCTGCAGTCATAATGCAAACAAAAAACATAACTCTGCAACGGCGCACGGGGACAAGGACAGTGCATACATTATCAGAGTTGTGTTTTTTGTTTGCATTATGACTGCAGGTATTGTGGTCTATGCAAGCATGACTCCTTGTAAAAAAGGTGTCAGTTTTGTTGCCAGATAGAAGGGTAAACAAACAATTATCTTACTGATCCCACTCAACTTCGCTCATGGTTGCACGCGCCGGTGCAATGCTCGACTTGTTGACACTTCACTAGTGGTGGACATGTTCGCAATGCTCTTCATCGCACCGGTGCAGCACACTACTCCGCACTGCACTAATGCAGGACACGTCTGGACCCTTTACGAGTCGCGGTCACTATCGGGTCACTCCCTCGGTGTGAGGGGCAGCGAGGGTCGGAGTGTGGCGTGGATGCGGTTGGGACCGGTGGCTTTTGCCGCGGAGATTTTAGTTTTTGTCGACAGGCTTCGCTTTTATGACCCACGCGGACGTCTCCCCCCCTCCACTCGCCCCGCGTCTGCCCGTCCTCCTCCTCCCCCAGGTGGACGACGACTCGTTCGTGCGCCTCGACGCGCTCGTGCCGGAGCTGCGTCGCCAGGACGCGCGCCGCCTCTACTGGGGCTTCTTCAACGGCCGCGCGCGCGTCAAGGGCTCCGGCCGCTGGAAGGAGAGCGACTGGGTGCTGTGCGACCACTACCTTCCGTACGCGCTCGGCGGCGGCTACGTGCTGTCGGCAGACCTCGTGCGCTACGTGCGGGACAACGCGCCGATGCTCAAGCTCTTCCGCAGTGAGGACGCGGCGCTGGGCGCCTGGCTGGCGCCCGTGGACCTGCGCAGGGTCCACGACCCGCGCTTCGACACGGAATTCCGCTCGCGGGGCTGCAGCGAGCAGTACCTGGTGACGCACAAGCAGAGCACGGAGGACATGCTGGAGAAGCAGCAGAGCCTGCGGAGGCATGGACGCCTGTGCAAGCGCGAGTTCCGCACGCGCCTCTCTTACATCTACGACTGGGCCGTGCCACCCTCGCAGTGCTGCCAGCGCCGAGAGGGGATACCCTAGCGGGAGGGGTGAGGGGCGTGGGGGAGGACCCCCCCCCCCAACCTCGTCCCCGACTACGGGACTTCGATGTCGCATGGGCCGTGGTTTCATTTCGTACGGCTGCGTCGCTTTTAGAAGTTGTGCCGTCGAGCAGCTCTACGGTGTCGTTTCGGGGTTTTTGGCGCGTGTTGTTCGGCAAGGTGTCAGCTCCGTTCCCGGAGAAGCGGCCGGCATGTGGAGCGAAACGTCGGACGTCGTGCCGAACGGCGCGCTGCAACGCGGAAATACGAGAAGTTGTTCATGGTTTTCCGTCACTGCGAGAGTCTTAGCCACACTAATCGGGTGCCGGAGGGGAATATGTTCGTCCTGGCAACAACAACCCGCGTTTTTTGCTCCTGTCGCTGTGAGGGCCTAGTATACTCGGTCGACACAAACGGTATTTTTGTGATGGTGCATAACGCCGAGGTTGCTTGCGTGTGTTAACGTGCAGTTGACCGCTAATGGTATTTGAAAGTCCAATTCGGCCCGCGGGAATCGAAAGCTTTTACGCCCCTGTCTAAATGCGCTGACCACGCAGATTTGTGAAAACCTCAAGACCTGAAAGGTCTCCGTGAGGCAGTAACGCAGCGAGTGGACTCAAGAACCCATCTGTGCAGAACTTTAAGTGTTACTATTCCCTCGTATGCGCGATGGGTTTTTTTTTCCGGTTTCTCCGGATTCCTAATTTAATGTGGAAATTTTCCACACATTCCGATGTAGTCAAACACCCTTGACAAAGTTTCGACACTTATTGAGGCTTTTTTTGTATAAATAAAGCCATTTTACAGAGCGTCGGCATTTGGGGAACCTCGGCCTCAAGTTACCTGCTCTTGGAGACTTTGAGAAACACGGGGCCCATTGTCAGTCCCTTCTCGTCTAGACAGTATTAGCCTGGATCACCAGAGGGCCCCCCACATCCCACAGGCCCCCTCCCCCCCCCCCATATTTCCAGACCACACGTGGGAGAACACACATGGACGAGCGTGGCTTTATTGTTGTGTCACCGCCCTAGAGCTTGGATGGCTTCATGCCCCACATGCGAGGTGAGGGTTGTTACTTCTTTTGCACTGGCATAACCGTGCCGTCCTGGGGCTGTGCCAAGCCAGGCCGGTGTGGCGCCGGGATGTTTTTTTTTCCACTGAGGATGCCCGAGCCGTGCTGCCGACATCACACGCGCAGTGGACGAGTCTGTAAGCCCCGCCCATGTCCCTGCTTTGGCCCCGGATGTGTTCTCCTGATGCCAGCTCGGCATGGTAAGTAGCCGGTGGGAGACCACCTTGTCCCCTAAGTGGCCATCGGCTTGGATGGGCCGATTGAAAGAGCATATTTGTGTCAATGTGTGACCGTTTAACCTGTAACTTGACATTCTCACAGGGAATCTCGTCATCGGAGGTGGTAATGTGTGCTGTACTGTACTCTGCAAACCCCATGCTTTGTCTTGTGTAAGGTGATTCGGTGTGTGTGTATCCACGAGTTGTAGGCAGCAATGGCGTAGTGTTTCGTGCACTGCACTGTGAACCCGGTGATCCGAGTTTGATTGCCAGCCACGGCTAACATCAGTTGTGAGTGATATCTGAACCAGTCCTGGGCCTCCCTTAGGTCGACTTAACCTTAAATGTACCTGGTGCATCGTGTAAATATCACCACTGGGTTGACAGACAGGCGTCATGGTGTTGGCCACACCACCCTCTCGTTATGCCTTAATAGGCGCTCACAAACAGCACTTGTCACGGCAGTCTGTATGGCAAAAGGGGGGCCTTTCTCTTTGTAGTGTGCACGCTAAAGTCGTGGGGTTTTTCAGGCCAGAATGGATACCAGTGACCAGTATTGACGGCAAATTTAAAGACATTTCAACTGGAGCTTAATTTCAAATGGGTCTGTCTAGGTCAGGGGTCGGTAACCTACGGCTCCGGAGCCGCATGCGGCTCTTTACAGGCTGCTTCTTGACGATATGTACGTATAGATGCATTGCGGCTCTTGAAATACTGAATTTTGTACCGAATTGGAAAGAAATGGCTCTTCTTGTTATTTTGGTTGCCGACCCCTGGTCTAGGTCAACGACTTGGAAAATACCTCTGCGCCCGGCACACCACATCCAGTGTGCCTCTCACTATGGCTGTGGCTACTACTCTTCACGTAGGACCCTACTGCAGTCTACCAGTGGTAGAATTTAAGGCGAGCGTTGCAGCTGTTAGATTATGGCGATACGGACACGACTACGATACATCTTGCGAGAATAGATACGCGATAATTGTACCGCCTGTTTTTTTGCGTGCAAAATATTGCGAGGTAGTGATTATCTTCACTGTATTGTTAAATACTTAACATTTCCTGACATTTTATTATAGTTCTAAATAATTAATATTTATCAACGGTTAAAGTGGCGCTTTGACAAATTGTTTACTGGAGAAATTGTACGCCTGGGTCGGTTACATTATGACCTGGTCATTGTTGTAATTTGTATAATTATTTGTGCATCAGCATTAGATGTAATAAAAACGACAGTATTTATGTTCTCATATCCGGTGCTTCTAATAGATAATTACAAAGCGCCATACGTGTGAACATTTCAACGCTCCATAAAAACATGAAATTGAAAGTGCCATATGAAACGTAAAATTATGGTGAAGAGGTTGTAACTGGGGGTAGATGTTGTAAAGTCGTTAGAGGAGTTAAGTCGGGCACGTGTTGAGTGACCTGTACTTAAAGAAATTTAAATTTAAATATCTTCTTACTAGAAGCAAAGCAAAAAAACACATTACAAACGCTAAATACAATTCATTGCAACGTTTTTGGGAAACTGATTTCCCGGTAGTCACTGTAACGTGAAACATTTTTATCGTTTCGTGAAGATTGATAACTCGGCAACCCCCCCACGTACAACACCCCCACCCACTTGTGACGCCATCCAGTATTTCCGCGTGATGTGTCTCAAGGTAACCACGTGCGTGCGTCGCGGTTGTGCTGCTGCTGTGCAGGGCTCTCCGGTGTGCCTTCCGCGTTGTGCCGTGCGTGTCTTCCGCCCGCGGACAACGTCTGACGGTCTCCCTCCACGTGCCGGGAGTTTCTTCAGTAGCCGAATTCGCCGAGTGAGTGCGAGAGCGTCGTGGGTGCGTGATTGAGTTTGTTAGGTGCGTTAGTGAGGGATTGATGGAGCAATTGAGCGGTTGGGTGAGTTAAAGAGGAGGGGGCTTGATGAAGTGACTGGATAAATGGATTGATGGAGTGGTTGAATGCGGGAATGGTTGAATGGATGGGATCGAGCGAGTAAGTGAACCGAATTAAGTTCCTGAAGAAACTCCCGGTGCGGGGAGCGAAACGTCGGACATCACGCCGAGCAACGCGCGGGCGCAGCCCGTGGACACGTGGGAGAGATTCGTTTTAAACTCCTCGCTCCGATTGTTCCATATGATGTGCAATCATTCCGCAGTGCTCGTGTAAAGCTGCGTGGACGAGTGTGAAGATGTCGGCGTCAGGATCTGACAGGTTTACATAGTGTCTCTCGTCGTTTTATCATAAAATAAAATAACGCTGGATGGAACGGTCTCCGTCTCCTGCCTTCGCTGAGCAGATGAGACCCAGGGAGGGTTGTGCGAACAGTGGGCATTACTAAGCCCATTTCACTCACGCACTCACTTGAACATACACTCCCGCACTCACTCAATGACCCACTTAGGTTGTGCTGAACCGGCAGGTATCGTGGGTGTTGGACGTGCAGCGGGCAGTAGCGAGTTCGGCCACAGCAGGTATCACTCAGCCAGTCGCCTGATTTAGACACCATTGGGTACAAACTGAGCGAGTCATCTGATGCAGTCAGCTGACCCAAGATGTTATTATTCCGTCGTGATGGGTATTTATCGTCATTTACAGACTTGAGAGTGGGCCTTTCTGAAGGAGGCTGTTGGATACAACATTGGCAGCATTGAGCCCCACGTGGTTCAGACACGGTGGGTTGTATTGACCCGAGTCATGTGGCGCAGACAGAGCGGGCATCGCAGCTGGCGTAGACACATCTAAACATTCCTGCGGAGGGAGCTGGTAGGAACGTTGGGTTGCTCGGTCAATGGCCAGGGTCAACGACGGCGTGGTGTATTCCGCAAATATGGCCGACTGTGAGGGCGGGCACAAGCCGGCGTGAGTAGGTTAAACGTTGAGTTTTATAAGGACACCACGGGGTGACCAGCCCCTCCCCACCCAGCCCCACCCTTCCCACCCCCCACCCAGCATCCCACCCAGCCCCACCCTCCCCACCCAGCCTCTCCCCACCCTCCCCTTTCCACCCAGCCCCTCCCCACCCCTCTCCACCCGGCCCCATCCCTCCCATTGTTGGATGCACGATGGACGGACGGACACAATAATCCCCTGTGGGCTGGTGTAACCAGGAGGTTCCGACCAGTACTAACCCCAGTGATGGAAGGAGGGCACCCATTCCTAGTGTGGCAGTGGAGCGGTGGCGCATTGGTTAGCGTAATGCACTATGATCCCCTGCAACGTGAGTTAAATTCTTAGCCACGGCGAACATCAGCGGCGAGTGGTATCTGAAGCTGTCAGTCCTTGTCCACCACCTACCTTCAGTAATAGAGCACTGACCAGCGTGGTGAAGTATGGTTAAACAACCCCCATGCTCAACATGGCGTGGAGAGTCATCAAGCAAAGGATTGACAAAGCGCGGTTTCTTAAAGCTTTCGTGACTGCAGAGATTCATATTCTTGGTTCTTAATAAGAAAAATAAAACATTTTTTTTCGCGACGTTTCGATTGCAACACAAGCAATCATCATCAGGTGTGAAAACCACAGCAAGAATTTTTTTACAAATGTTGGAAAAATTTCTTGCTGAAATTAAAAAAAAAATTCTTGCTGTGGTTTTTGAAAAAATTCTGGCTGTGGTTTTCACACGTGATGATGATTGCTTGTGTTGCAATCGAAACGTCGTGGAAATTAGTATTTTTATTATTTTATTATTTCCCTTCTACGTGACTTTACCGAAAGAACCAAGAATACTAGACTTTTGTGACAAACGAGCTTTATGGCTCAAAGGATTCCTCCAGTAAAAACATTTTTTTAAAAATCCAATTCATTGAGCTATATAATACTCTCACTCATCGAGGCATAGATGTTATTTAACCTCAGCAGCGAAGGGCCCAGTGAGCTGCTGGGGGCAACAATAAGCTCTTTCACCAGGCGTTCCAAGCGTGAACCAGCAGAGTATTCGCACAGAGTTAGTGCTGTCCGAGAGCCCCCATTCATTGCGCTCTGGCTGTTATTGTTGCGGAGCGAGGCGGTGGCGTCACGACCGTGTACACAAATGACGTCACGCGTGCAAACAATGACGTCACGCAGTGTAAAACTTTCGCCACGCAGCGCGCCGTAGCGCACGCTCCCAACGTCGCCACGTGGATCTCCTCTCTCCCCTCGCTCCCCTCTCTCCCCTCTCTCCCTCAGCGCGCTTCTCGGACCCCCGTACATCTCCTCGGCACCCTTGTCTACCCCCTCGTAGGCCCCGTTCCCTCCGAACCCCGAGTGCGGCCTAGTACTCCGTCCCGCGCCGACGCGGAGCCTGCGGTCTTTCCTAGCGGCCTCCGCCCGGTGGAAGTGGCGGCTGACCTGGCCGCCCCCGAGCCTGGCGGACCGGTCTCGTTTATCTCTCGTGTCTCGTTGTCATTGTGTCTTTCTCGGGGAGCTTCGGCGCGATGGTGTCGCGCAAGGTGAAGGTGTGCACGGCCCTCGGCCTCTCCTACGCGCTGCTACTGGCGGCGTTTCTCTGGCTGGACGTGACGGCTCGGCCCGCGGGCCTCGGCGCGGCCACGCACGGGGCCGAGGACCTCAAGGAGGTCGCGGCGGCCGCGGTGGACAAGGGCCCGGTCGACGGCGGCGGCGTCGACCAGGGTGGACACCCGCAGAAGCAAGAGCAGCAGCAGCAGCAGGACGGTCAGCAGGAGGATAAACAACAACAGCAGCAGCAGCATCAGCAGCAGCATCAGCAGCAGGAGGAGAAGGGAGGAGAGGCCCCGCGTCCTGCCAAGAAGGAGGAGGCCCACTCGCGGCGTGCCGAGGAGAATGAGATCCTCCCACCGGACCACCTCAACGGAGTGAAGATGGAACGCGACGGGCACCTCAACAAGGACTTCCACCAGGAGGTGTTCCTGGGCAAGGAGAAGGAGGAGTTCGAGGAGGACTCGGAGCCGCGCAGGAACCGACAGAAACTCATCGAAATCTTCGCCAAGTGAGGGGGAGGAGGAGGAGGGGGGTGATGAACGGCCATTGATTCGTGTCGTGATTCAAAGAGGACGCGGTCCTGAGCGAGGCTGGCCACCTCCACTCTTCCCACTCTCTCTCTACTCTCCCCACTTGTCTACTCTCCCCACTCTCTCTCTACTCTCCCCCACACTCTCTCTACTCTCCCCACTCTCTCTCTACTCTCCCCACTCTCTCTCTACTCTCCCCCACACTCTCTTTACTCTCCCCACTCTCTCTCTACTCTCCTCTCTCTCTACTCTCCACACTCTCTACTCTCCCCACACTCTCTCTCTACTCTCCCCACTCTCTCTCTACTCTCCCCCACACTCTCTCTACTGTCCCCACTTGTCGACTCTCCCCACTCTCTCTCAACTCTCCACACTCTCTCTCTACTCTCCTCTCTCTCTACTCTCCACACTCTCTACTCTCCCCACTCTCTCTACTCTCCCCACACTCTCTCTCTACTCTCCCCACACTCTCTCTACTCTCCCCACTCTCTCTCTACTCTCCCCACACTCTCTCTCTACTCTCCCCACTCTCTCTCTACTCTCCCCACACTCTCTCTCTACTCTCCCCACACTCTCTCTACTCTCCCCACTCTCTCTACTCTCCCCACTCTCTCTACTCTCCCCACACTCTCTCTACTCTCCACTCTCTCTCTCTACTCTCCCCACACTCTCTCTACTCTCCCCACTATCTCTACTCTCCCCAACTCCCTTTCCCACGCACCACTCTACCGCTCCAAAACCCCGCTCTACTCTCCCCTGCCCGCACTATCCAATTACACCTAGGATTGCCACCACCGAGGTATAACAACAACAAAAAACCCGACACGTGTTTAATGTCCCGAGAAGAGAGTGACACATTTCCCGAAGAGGGTCTGAGCTAACAAGAACTGGGTTTAGAGTCTGGGTTCAGGGCTGCGACTCCAACCATTGTTAGAGTAAATGGGTGGTTGCCGTGCCTCCTAGTTAACAGCACAGCGATTAGGCGAATTATAATTCTACCTCGACCCTGGGTTGCCTGCCTTTACGAGTAACTCCGTTGCATTGTGTCCGAAACATATTCCGATTTTACTTTCAATACAATAGTTAGGAATACATTTGTGGTTATTGGAGGGCTTGTCTGTTACGCACAATCTACTAATAGGTAACTTCATTTGCTAATTTAAAACATTCATTAGGACACATTTATGAAATGCAATTCTTATCGGGCACCATGTTGTATAGTGCAGTCTTCAACTCGTATTATTTACTTTGTCTCTCTGGCCTTTCAGTGTGCTTTGAAGGGCTATTTCCTGAAACATCACCTACTACGTTTTCCTTTTAAGGCCACGGTGTTATTGACGATTGTGCGTTTATTTGTCTTTGTGGGAGTCACCCAACTGCACAGATGCATAGCGTGCGTGTTAGGTACCAGGGTTGTGAGTTTAAGGCGTCTTTGTCACATCCTGAGGTGGGGTGTGTCAGGTGTAGGTGTGGGGTGTTCACGTGAGGTGTAGGTGTTCACGTGAGGTGTATGTGCGTGGTGTTCATGTGAAGTGTAGGTGTGTGGTGTTCACGTGAGGTGTAGGTGTTCATGTGAGGTGCGGGGTGTTCACGTGAGGTGTAGGTCTGTGGTGTTCATGTGAAGTGTAGGTTCGTGGTGTTCATGTGAGGTGTAGGTCTGTGGTGTTCATGTGAGGTGTAGGTGCGTGGTGTTCATGTGAGGTGTAGGTGCGTAGTGTTCATGTGAGTTGTAGGTGTGTGGTGTTCATGTGAGGTGTAGGTGCGTGGTGTTCATGTGAGGTGTAGGTGCGTGGTGTTCACGTGAGGTGTAGGTGCGTGGTGTTCACGTGAGATGTAGGTGCGTGGTGTTCACGTGATGTGTAGGTGCGTGGTGTTCACGTGAGGTGTAGGTGCGTGGTGTTCACGTGAGGTGTAGGTGCGTGGTGTTCACGTGAGGTGTAGGTGCGTGGTGTTCACGTGAGGTGTAGGTGCGTGGTGTTCACGTGAGGTGTAAGTGCGTGGTGTTCATGTGAGGTGTAGGTGCGTGGTGTTCATGTGAGGTGTAGGTGCGTGGTGTTCATGTGAGGTGTAGGTGCGGAGTGTGTGTGTCTCAGCTGACCATCAGGGTTGGGTGTCGAGTTTAACTCATCGTTTCATGCTTATGTAAATTCTCCTCACCCACACATCTTTGTGGAGATGGCTCTCGCTAAGTGGGTAACATTTACCTGCGCCTTATTTGAGTAAGAGGCTGAGCTGCACGCATCTTAGCGCGAACATCTTAGCGCGAACTTCCGCACTCATCCGCTTGCCACCTCGCCGTACCTGAGTAAGTTTCAGCTCAATGACATGACGCCACAAACGATGTTGCTGCTGGTGCTGTCTTCCCGCCCACCTCCCCAGCGCTGACCATCATCCTATGTGGATCTCCTGTGATATAGGGAGACACTGCTGATACGGTGGCGAGATGTTAACTACCTCGCCTGGTTTGCAGGAAGTCGTGAGTTCGGTCCTGACCCTTACAGCCTGTATATTTTACATCCAGCATCATCGGGAAATTCGCCAGAATTGTCCGATGATGCTGGATGTAATTACCAGCGAAACGTCGTACTCAAAAATTGTAAATGTTGTGGATTCACTCTTCAACACACTGGTGGGCTAAAGTAGTGAACTATTTGTCTTTTGTCAACGTGACACTTTTTTGCTGATTGGCCGTGTCGGGTGGTGGAGGGTTACGACACATTTATAAATAACCCAAAAACTTTATTATGAATAATATTGGTCGCGAAAGCCTACACGTGTTAAACTGTATATTTGTAGTTTGCATGTTCTCCCTGACGTGTTGCGTGCATTATTTCTGAGGGTCCCCCGGTTTTTGCCTCCACATTTAGAATCCACGTCATGAGTTTAAAGTATTTTAGCTGCTATAAATTTCCACGTGGTGATAAGCCACTAAGTTGCGCTATCATTTGTGATAGCCAGGTCACTTCTGAAAAAGAGCTATGTAGTTCTAGTAGGCCTTACCTGGTAAAATAAACAATAGTTTAGTTTATATTTATGATGCTGCTTCTCTTGCTACACGTACCCAGGCCTCTTCCTTGCTCCCAGGGTCCACTGCTTCACAATTGGTGGCCACTGTTTTGGCCACTAATGCCCCCAACCTCTGGAACTCAATCCTCAGGCAACGTGGCCTCATCCCTGGTCCTCTCTCTCTGCTGGTTTCAAGCCTCACCTCAACACTTTCCTCCTCAATGCGGTGCTGTCACACCCTCTTCATTGCTTCTTTTCTCGGTTCCTCCCATTCCCTTCCATTTCCTCCTGCGTGATTCTGTCCTCCGAGATATTTGTTACGTTATGGAAGCATTATAAATGTAACCGCTTCTCGCTGTGCTATTGCTGATGCTTCTGTTACTTCTGCTGCTACTATTGCTATTTACTGCTGCTACTGTTGCTACTAGAGCAAATACTACTGCTGCTACCACTGTTTCTGCTTTTACTGCAACGACCACCACTGCTACAATGCCTGCTGCTACACCTGCTACTTACTGCTACTGCTGCTTCTACTGCTGCTACTTATTACTACAGTACTTGCTGCTGCTACTGCTACTATGACTACTTACCGCTACTTGCTGGTGCCAATGTAGTAGCTCAGCGGGCGATACACGAGCTGGTACCGAGCAGCGCGAAGGCACCGGAGCGTGGCTGCAAGGGGCGCTGGCACGATGACTCTCGCGAACATAAACACGGTCACGGGCGGTGGACGGGTTAGCAAAACACGGGGCGGACGGAGCGATCGCGTCTGGAAAGAACAACAAGGGCAGTGCAAGCAGCTCGGATTACGCTACCTACGCTCGCTTGGACGGATCTGGCCCGGCGCTGCAGCCGCCAGGGTTAGTTTCTCCCAGCAGCAGCGTGGCATTTTTTAGTCGGCGTAATGTTTTTTTTGTTATTTGAGTTGTCAAAACCATTCACCCACGGGAAGGTGGGCGTTGGGACAGAACGGCAAGGGCACGGCTCAAGGAAGGGCAGCAGGAAAACAAGGAAAGGGGCGCTGGCCGGGAAGTAGAGGAGGGGGAGAAGGAATGACCGGGCCTGGATGTCGGGAATGAGAGGGATGGGATGAGAGGAAGAGAGAAGGAGGGAGGGAGCGAGCGCAAGTAAGCTGCCACGAAGCAGTGTCTGTTTTCACAGGGGGTGGGGAGAGGGGAGGGATTCGGAGTGGGGGTGGCTACACAAGTCACGTGATTTACAGGAGGCTTGAGCTGATTTAGATATAGTTTTAGCCTTTGGCGTTGTCGTGAAGTCGAGGTGTGTGGGCTTTATTCTCTTAGACTAGTCTACGAAAAGGAGTCAAACGTTTAGTCAAAAACTTAGTTATTCAATGTTGGTATGAAGGGTTCACAATCCCCCCTGCCAATATGATCAGGTCAGCCAGTCGGTGTACTCGGAAAACATAAAACTCAACAAATCCATCAATAACACTGTGGCCTTTAAAGGAAACGGAGATTATTGGTGGCATTTTGGCCAATGCACTTTCTAGCACATGGAGAGGCCAGTAGAGAGACCGAGTGGATGATAATAGTGGGAGACAGCTCCACTTGTTTACACAATGGGTGTGATGGATTCTTTTTCATGTTTTCTGATGGACAAGTCTTAAGTTGGCATGTGAATTGTTACCTAATAGCGGCCATTGAGTAACAGACAAACCCTTCAATGATAAAAAAAGTATTAGTAAATAACCTCATTTGTATCAGAAGGTAAATGATAACACATTGCTGGCACTTTGCATTATGGGTAAAACTGCTGTACGGGGGTCAGTGAAGCCATAAGTTGTCTAATCCCATTCCTGGGCCCAATTCTCAACTATTGACCACACACCCTCTGCTTAAGTCACTCGCTCACCACTAATCACATACCTTGTTATCACTCATCTATTGCTACTACCGTGGTTACCGTTCCCGATTTGTCCACCCATTGAGTTATCTAGCATGCTGTCCATTTAATTACATCTGCACTGTGTTCATCTGCAACACTACAGCTCACAACAACACACTCACCCACGCACTCACGAACTAACTCATTCACCCGCTCGCTCACTCACCCTTCGTTCACTCACCCAACCACCTACGCGCCACACTGCAGGTCTCTACACTTCTGTTCTTTCCTCGCACTGCTCGACGATAGAATTCACCTCCCATCATCATCGTCGTCTCTTTTCCCAAATTCATAGAATCAATAACCTTGCTAAATGCAAGAAAATGTGGTAACGCTGAATATTTTACAACGTTGGACAGTTTTGGGCCGTTGGTTCTGGTTGCTCAGCAATTGTGTAAATAACAAACACAAACTCCCCTCGTCAGAGGTACCGATAATCGCTGGTGTTGCTGGTGGACTGTGTGCTCAGGTGAGGCCGCGTGGGTGCGTTGTAAGGCCACTCACCCCTGCCCCGTCGGCCGAGCGTAACAAAAAAGAAACCGAGCGTCTTGCGTTGACTTTCTGCACAATCACGGCGCCACCGCCACCGCTGCGGTGATCCGCGTACCGGTTCTGAAGCTAGGACCCCGCTTTATCTGGTAACGTCATCCCTCGCCTTTGATTTAGAGTTTCAATGCTTGCCAATCAAATAAAGCTTATCGGCTCACGATGTAACGAGCCACAAGCCCCGCGTGTTTAAGGTCAGCGTGTGTTGTTTTGATACGAATGTTTAGGATGCCTTTCTGGGTTACGACAGCACGCTGATGACTTGAGGGTTTTTAGTCTTTTTTGGGGTGGTGGTGGGGAGGGGGTTGCGAAAAGTCGAAGTCTGAGCGATTTACTGCCCATGGTAGCATTGAGGCATTTGTACTCATCTCCCGTTTACAGCCCTGCAGCGCCATTGGTGGACATTCCACGTTCCTATGGCGGGGGGCGAGTTTATCCGTAGGCAAACTGCCGTTGGTTTCGTGGATACGTGGTGCTCGTTTAAATAGACCCCGGAGGGATGATGGTGGAAAACTGATGGTGGGGGGGGGGTATGGAGGAGGTGATGGGAGACAGGTGATGGGGCACAGGTATTTGGAGAATGGTGTTGGGAGAGGTGGTGGGAGAGGTGGTGGGAGAGAAGTGGTGGTGGGAGAGGTTGTAGGTGAGAGGTGGTGGGAGGGGGGTGGTGGGAGGGTTTGGAGGAGGTGATGGGACACAGGTGATGGGGCACAGGTGATGGGGCAGAGGTATTTGGACAACGGTGTTGGGAGAGGTGGTGGGAGAGGGGTGATGTGTGGGGGGGGGTGTTGAGAATGTGATGGGGGAGAGGTATTTGGAAAACGGTGATGGGAGAGAGATGACCATGGAGAGGTCATGGGAAGTCGGATCCTGCCGGTGAATGCCAGTATTTTGCATCCATCTTTACGCTACCGCAGGACCCAATTTGGGCGGATGGGGGGGCCGCGTGCCCTTGGGGCAGAGGTGGCTTGGGGGGCAGAAGGCAGCCACATCAGAGGATGGGTCGTGTGCCCTTGGGGCCCCTGAATTCGTCACTAATTCTGGCCACAGTTACACTGCGCCATCTGATTATCGTGGGGCCCTATGCTGATGCGGCCCAGATTACACATGAAAGACTCACGCACCGACCGCCGCATGCCTCCATGGGGGGGGGGCGGGGGGGTGAGGGAGCAGGGACGGGCGGTAAATTCTGCAGCACGCGAGGAGCTCTTTAAAGTTTCTGACTGATAGGGAGCAACCCTGAATGTGTGGATGATGATGGTGATGATGATGATGCGAGCCTGTTTGTTGTTGCAGATTGTCATATTTTCCTTTCAAAATAACTCGCAATGTGGCATTACGTGTTTGTGTGTGTGCATGTGTGTTGCAGAGGCTCCGATTGTGTGTGTGGCTCTGTAGTGGGGAGCGGTAGTGTAGTGGTTAGCGCACTGCGCTACGAACCCAGCAACCCGGGTTCGATTCCCGCTAACACCAGTGACAAATATCTGAACCGGTCCTGGGCCTCCCCTAGGTCGACTCGGCCTCAAATGAGTACCTGGTGTGGTGTGTAAACATCGCCACTGGGGAGACAAAAGCGGTCGGGCTTAGTGCTGGCCACCTACCCATTTGTGTACCGTTCCGGCCTTCATAGGTGCGCGCTAACAGCACTCGTCCTAACAGTTTGTTACAGGCTACACAGGGGATCTTAATTGTGTGAGGCTCTGTGTGTGTGTGAGACTGGATGTTGTGGGAGGCTGTATATGTGGGGGACTGTGTGTGTGTGGGAGGCCGTGTTTGTGTGCGTGGATGTATGTATGTGAGAGCGCTTGGGGCTCTGGCCACCCCTGTTGAATCTGTGTGCGGTTTCCATCATCATTAGGGCTACTCTGCCACGCCGCTGGATTGATGCACATGTTTACTCCATGGTCTGTAAATACACAACGCAATTAGCTATTCATGAAGACAAAAACAGACCGAGATCCCCCATATAGCCTTTAAAGACTGTGCTGTTAGCTCGGACGGCAGGGTACCTGAGGGGGTGGGTGGCCAGCATCGTGTCAGGCCACCTTTGTCCCCTCGGCTCTGATATTTACACACCGCACCAAGTACTCATTTAAGGCCGACTCGACCTAGGGGAGGCCCAGAACCAGTTCACGCATTGGTCACCGATGTTGGCTGCGAGCGGGTATCGAACTCGGGTCCGCCGGGTAGGCCGCTGCCCACCACATGGGCACACAAACAAGGGCACGCACAGTTTCCGCACACAAGCGCTCTCTTACAAGCAAAGGGAAAAAGAATACAAAGACACACGCGTGCCCCCCCCTCCCCTCCTGACATACACGCATCACTCACGCACGCGACGGCTCGCTCACACAATCCTTAGCCCGGGGCTCCCCCCATCTCTCTCGCTCTCTCCACACGGCACCGCGATTGCGATCGGTACACACAGAGCCAACGCCGGTGCACGGCACGCCGGCCGAGCCCTCAGATGTAGCCGTCTCGCGTTTCCGATATCGCAGCTCGTGCGAGTCGGCAGGGATGGCCATGCTGATCCGAGCCACTTAGACAGACAAGGCGGAGGGGGGGGGGGGTGCGGGGGGGAGGGAGTGGGGGCCGTGGGGGGAGGGAGCAGATAACAGTAATTGCTGGCGCACGGGGCGGTGGTACATTGCGTGTCGTGAGTGACACGCGCCCTTCAAAGGGTAGCACCGTCGTGATGTTGATTATGATGATGATGATGACGGCGGTGGTGGCGGCGGGCGGTGGCTGTGGTGGCGGTGGCCACTGTGGTTGCTGCGGTGGCTGTCGTGCGAAGCTGCCACTCTATCTGATTGCGTGGGGGCGGGTGATTTGTTCCGTGATTGATTGCTGTGGGGGACGACGTGATCAAAGGCGAGAGGGAGAAGGAGACAGGAAATGCCACGCGTGTGTTTTCGTGTGCCCCCCCCCCACCCCCCGTCGACTGATTGCGAGGGCACTTGAAGATGTCTTTTGAAATTTGCCTCCGTCACCCAAGTGCCAAGTGCCAGTCACGCTGCGTCGATACTTTTTTTCTGGGACCCATAGGGGCGGGGACCCGCAGCATTGATTCGACGGTACGGTAAATAGGGGGGGGTCTTGTGGCTCGTGGAGGTGGGGGTCATCACCTGATGTGGGGTAGGGGGGGGCACACAACTCCCCCCACCAGTGTGAAAACACAAACCATGTCAGAAGTGGACACTTGATGCACGAATGAAAAATTAAAAGCCCTCCCCAGTTCAATGTGCTACTGCGGTTACAGCGCAGAACAGACGACGATGGAACATATAACGGCTCGATGCCCGATTCACGAATGTCAAGTAAAGGTATTGCTCCAGTGATGCACCACTCCCGCTACTCCTGATGCAATCATCTTGCTCATTCACCGCCTCAATGGAAAAATAACAGCTGTTGTAGTACATCAGCAACAGCCTCGCGTGTGTGAGACTCCGTGAGTGGGGTGAGAAATCCGTGGCAGGTGTGTGACTGATCGCGTACCGATTTGCCATTGTATGTTAAACTTCTTTCGCACCGTACGTAGCTAACCGTACTAATGGTAGGTGCCGATCACCGCTGCAGCCACCGGAGTCGCCGCCACTCATGCATCTGTGTGCGTCTGTGTGCATCGTTGGTCAGGGTGGACAAGGACCGGGACAAGCGCATCTCTGCGGTCGAGCTGCAGGAGTGGATTGTGGAGAAGACGCGCGAGCACCTGCAGCAGGCGCTGGACGAGAACAAGCCACACTTTCGCACGCTCGACCCGGACGGGGACGGTGAGGACCGAACTGCTCACCTTACCGCTCGCCCAATCGCTCACCGCACGCTCAAAACCGCGCTTCCCGACGCGGGGCGTGGATGGTGCAGAAAGCAACTGTTATTTTGTTGACGTTTACCAGGGAACGTACACAGATTATATTGTTGCAAGTGGCGATGTTACCCCATGTGGATTCTCCCAAGTCCGTTATATGCGAGCGGTTTACAAATGGCCGTCTCCTCTTGCACTGCCTCGGCAGCCGCTGTGCACCGACGGTGTGGTGGAGCGTTCGTGGGCGAGTACAGAACTCGGCCTCCGAGTGATTGTCTGCTCTAGACGAGCAGCAAGGCATCGGTGCTCAACTCCTGTGAATACGGCCCTGAGCCAGTTGGTTCGAAATTCCACATTCCTATGGCGGAGGCGAGTCTATCCAAAGGATAACCACTGATTACCTCCCCACGAAGTGGTATTAATTCTGTCGAACCCAGGGAGGATGATGGGGCGAGTCAAACCCTTCCACCCCATCCAAGATTTTTATTCGCAGCCTTGCGATTGCGAGCCGCTCGCTCGGCCATACACCCACGCTATGGACCGGGGGGGGGCAGGGGGGTGGCTGTTGGGTCTGAACCGCTCTGTGCGTGCGCGCGCCAGGGCTGGTGACGTGGGACGAGTACCGCCTGCGCTACCTCGTCAGCAAGGGCTTCGACGAGAAGGACATCGCTGAGCGCATCCGCGACAAGCAGGAGCTCAAGATCGACGAGGAGAGTGAGTGCTCGCTCGCTCACCTTCCCGCTCACCCTCCCGCTCACCCTTCCGCTCACCCTTCCGCGCTCACCCGCCCACCACGTCTCACGACTCGCTTGCCTACCCCGCTCGCCCACATACACACTCGCCCCCTCTCACCCGCTGTCCCATTCACTCGCTCGCCCGCACGCACGCACGCCTGTGTGCTCACCGACACGCTCACTCCACCCGCCAGGCATTGACCACTCACGCTCTCACTCAAACGCTCTTCCAAATCACCTATTTACCCACCCGCACGCTTTCCCACTCACTCCCCTATCCACTCACCCACCCACCTACCCATCCACTAAACCACCTGCTCACACCACCCACTCGCCCACCCACGCCACATACAGGGTTAACGAGGTGAGCCAGTGATAGGGGCGAGTGGTGTGGGTGCCTCGGGGAAGATCTCTGGCTCCCCCTGGTGTCACCAAAGCTTCACACAGTGGGGTGCAAAACGCTCTTAGCCAGACGGAATCATATACGCAGGAATACCTTGTACTTTCGTCTGGTTAGGGACCAGGGCATGGACGAATGTCAAAAACGCCACATGTCAAAGCAGAGCCTTCATTTAGCTTGCAAATGTATTTTGGCCGGCGAAAAACGTACATGCAAATAACTACAGTAACTATATAACACATGCGTGCGAAGCCTAAATGAACAGAAGTAAAAGAAAAAGAAACATAAGAATAAATAATCAAAACTAAATAAACAAATGATACCTTTAAATATTTGTATTCTTGCGTAAGTGGATGAGGAATATATTGGTGATAAGAACAGTATTAGTAATATATGAATAAACACAAATATAAGAGATGCTCACTGAACGACTTCTATTCAAAGACTAAAACGAAAAAGACGGCGTGTGGCGCGGACTTCGTGGAAGGTCTGGAATGAAATCGGACGAAAGAGGAAAGTCGCGTGGACGAAATTCGAAGTGTGGTTATAATTTAAAACGGCCGAAAGAGCCAAGTGACGAAAGTCAAGTGGACTAAAGTCAAGGTATCGCTGTAGTGTAGTAGGTGACGTTTCAGGCATATAAAGTAAAAAAAAAAACTAGCCAATTTTACAGGCCATTGCCCCGAAATGTCCCCTATTGTTTAATATTCTGCCTCTTTAAGGCCATAGTGTTTATTAATGTGATTTTGTGTAGTTATTTGTGCTTGTGCACTACTGCCAACGCAGCACTACCAAATAATTAGTTAAATAACTAAGAGTGTTTGGCTCAATGTGTTGACAGATGAATTGAAATCCGCAGACTAAGGCTTGGCGATGAGACCACAAGCTGCCATCGACTAGACTGTCACTCAGCTGACAACGTGCAGACTAAATTAATATTGCTTGGAGGTCAGAGCGCTGAGTTGGCCCAGCTGAGATCCGAGGTTCGAATCCGGATTTCCTCCGCCCGACTACGGTGCACCAGCGAGTCGATGGTCGCAGCCTCGAGACCAGTGACCGAAATCTAGACCTTGAGACTTGAAGAAACACGCGCCTACATATAGACCCATAGACTCGTGTATAGAACTGTCTCACCCACTTAGAGACCCATGATTAAACCGGCTTTTCAGGTGCAGTGAGTTAATGGTCTCAGCCCCGGTCACCAGTGACTGCACAAAAAACCGTGCCTTAAGTCGAGTCTTGCACAATTCCGCTAAATCCCAGCTTTGACGATAAAAATAACAGTCCAAGAGCAAACGAGCGAGCGAACTCGTGAGCGAACGAATAAATGAGCAAACGAGCGATCGAATGAGCAAGCGTATGAGTAAATGAGCGAACGGGCGAACGAGTGAAAGAGCAAACTAATAAATGAGCGAACACGCGAGCAAACGGGCGTATGAAAGAGGGAACGAGTGGATGAACAAGCGGACGGGTGATTGTGCATTCCTCAGCTGAGGAGCTGATGGACAACCTGAAGGAGCGGTGGAACCAGGCAGACGACGCGCCCCAGGACCAGAAGTTGAACGAGAAGGAGTTCCTCTCGTTCCAGCACCCGGAGCACAGCCGCAGCATGCTGAGCTACATGGTGCAGGAGATCATCCACGACCTGGGTGAGCAAGCCACCCGCCGCAGTGTGACCCCGTGCTCACCACGGTGACCCCACGCTCACCACGGTGACCCCACGCTCACCACGGTGACCCCACGCTCACTGCCCAGATGCTGCCCCCACACTCACCACGGTGACCCCACGCTCACCACGGTGACCCCACGCTCACCACGGTGACCCCACGCTCACCACGGTGACCCCACGCTCACTGGCCAGATGCTGCCCCCACTCACCACGGTGACCCCACGCTCACCGCAGTGTGAGTGCGTTTTCTGCATTTGTTGTGTACAGCGCGGTGCAGTGCGATTGCGTAAAACTTACGGCAGCGTGGCTCAATCTATTATCGCACACATTTACAAACGGTGATTGTAGGAATATAATTGTAAGAATATAAATCACAAACCAAAAAATGTCATTACCGTCGAGTTGATTACTCGGCGACTCGCGCATTTGCCGAGTCTCGGTGGGTCGTATTCGACGTTGGCCCGATGTTCCGCACAACAGACCAGGACAAGGACCAGCGGCTGTCGCTGTCGGAGTTTGCGTCGCTACCGCTGGGCACGGTGGAGAACCAGAAGGAGCAAGACATCGACGACGACTGGGTGCGCGAGCGGCGCAAGGAGTTCATCGAAGTCATCGACTCCAACAAGGACGGCTTCATCACACGCAGCGAGCTCGAGGTGCCCGCCACCACGCTCACCGCTACGACACTCGCCACCACGCTCACCGCTACGACGCTTGCCACCACGCTCACCGCTACAACGCTCGCCACTACGCTCACCGCTACAATGCTCGCCAGCATGACGATCACCGCAGCGCTTGCCACCACGATGATCACTACTGCGCTCGCCACTACACTTACCACGATGCTCACCTTATCACGCTGCTCTCTTGGAGCTGACCCGAACACTCAAACACTCACTTTGACACTGACCCCTACCACCGTCTCCCCCCCCCACTCCCCTGAGCTGGAGTACACGGACCCGATGAGCAACCACACTTTCGTGGCGAAACTCGATTTAGTTTTTTTATTGTTATGCAGTGTATATGTTTTATTTTACCAAGGCCCACTGAGTTCTATAGCTTTTTTTCAGAAGCAACCTGGCCACAAATGATAGCTCAACGAAGTGGCTTATTGTGTGGACATTTATAGCAGCTAAATACTATAACCGGAGAAGAAAAATCCACATCACCACGGAGGGAGAGAGGCACACAAACTCTAAATATACAACAGGCGGCAGGGTCGGGATCGAACCCAGGCGTGGTAGTTACAATCTCACAACCGTGGCACCACTCGCCCTAACCCTCGCCATCAACGCTCAACCTCGCCACCACTCACCCTCGCCACCACTCACCCTCGCCACCAATGCTCACCCTCGCCACCAATGCTCACCCTCGCCACCACTCACCCTTGCCACCAATGCTCAACCTCGCCACCACTCACCCTCGCCACCACTGCTCACCCGTGTCTCTCCTCGCGCGTGCAGGAGTACATGGACCCTACGAGCAGCCACAACGCGCTGAGCGAGGCGAAGCAGATGATCTCGGTGGCGGACGAGGACGAGGATGCGCAGCTCAGCCTGGACGAGGTGCTGCGCTACAGCGAGTACTTCACGGGCAGCAAACTCGTCGACTACGCTCGCAACGTGCACGAGGAATTCTAGGGCCGCGGGGGGGGGCCAGCATCCAGTGGAGGGGGGGGGGGGTGGCACGGTGGTGGCCCGCTGGATGGATGCAATTGGGGGTGGGGATGGGGGGGGGGAAGAGGGCAAGGGGGGGCAGAAGGGATGGAGTGGCACCAGCAGTGGTGGCAGAGATGGTAACCGATGGGTGGTGATGGTGAGGATGATAAATGCAGTAAGCCTCATGGACTCGACGCACTTGGTACTCTAGAGATTCTAGAGCAACAGATGAGAGCTAAGATGGTTGGGACAGAGAGGGCATTGGGGGCTTCTTGCCTGTGGGGGTGGTTCTAACGCAGTTGGTGGTGATGGTGTTAATGCAGAGTGGAGGAGTGGGTGGTGGTGGTATTTTTTTTTATCCCTTCTCCGTGCCACTATGGTGTGGTTTAGCTGCACGGTTTAACCACATGGCGCGTGGTCACCTGTAAATAACTCAGCGCTGCGATCCCAACGTCGTGTGTGTGCGCGCACGTGTCTCAAGACTGCTTGTCCAGACTCTTTACAGTCTGTCGATCTGCACTGTGTGTCTATCCAGACTATTTCAAGACTGCATCTTTGTCGGGCTCTGTGTGTGTGTCTGTGAATGTTAACTCCCAGAAGACAAGGCCCAAGTTTGGTTCTACGTTTTGTCTGATATAGAGCGCCCCTTCCACGCGTCGCACTCACACCCATGTGGCGTTGGGCAGTACGGACTTGGTGTCCAAGTCCCATCTCTTCGGTGTCTTTGTGAGCATCACTCACCGAGAACTCTGCTGGGGATGGGTGCTGATGGGGGAGGGTCATGTCTGCTCACCTAACAATAATGTTAGAATGTGTGATGCGTTCCCTCTGAGAGAGGGAGGGAGGGACAGGGCGAAGGTTTGGGAAGCCACAGACAAGAGGGAGTATGGCCACAATTGTAGCCAGTAGTTGCCTAAGCTCTGTGGTTCTATATTGGGGATGTTTGGCCAAATCCATGAACCAGTGTTTATTACACGTGGACCAAACCGGAGTGTCCGCAGAGTCCCCACGCACGCCGGGGGCGGGGCTCACATTCAATCCCCATGCAGATAGACATGAATCCTACTTGCTGTACTGAGATGGCGACCTCTACGTCGACCTTGACAATAGTTGACAGACCAGACAAGGACGTGTTTTGCCATATCGTCCTTTTGTTTAATTTCAGTTTTTTGCGTGTGTCATCCAGTAACTGGGATGAGAATCGCGAGCTTGCCGCGGTTGTGGTTAGCACCGCCGGTTTCAGTGTGGTCAGTGGGGTCAGTGTAGTCGGGTCAACAGTCTGCATGCAGTGGTGAAGTGGGGGGGGGATCTTCACCCTCCCCCCACCCGTCCCCCCACCCAAGACGTCCAGCTTTAGAGGAACTGTTTAAAGCTCCCAGTGGTGGTTGGTGGGGCGGAGAGTGGTGGGGGACGAGGCCCTCCTGACAGCATGGGAGTGAGCAAGCAATTGCCGGCTGAACTGTGACCTTGAGCTGTGGGGGAGTGTGGGTGGCTGGGCTTGGGCTGGGCCGGGCTGGGCTGTTGCCCCTGCCGCGAGCTCGGTGCTGCGTGTGCACGCGAGTGACGGTGGCGTCCAGAGATTGACCTTTTTTAAAAGAGATTTACGCGTTTAAAGTTAAACTACTGTTGTCGCATTTCGTCCGCTTAATCTTCAGCCACGATAACTATTTATTAACTATTCTGTTCGCGCATCTGCTGCTGCTACGCTTGGGCTCGGAGGTTCTGGGGATGTGTGAATGATTAAGGAAGCATCGTGATTGCCGTCCGGTGTGTCCCTCTATAATTTATGTCCGACTTGTGTTGTGTTAAATCAAAAATTACGTCTTGCGTCGGCGAGTGTGTGCATGTGTGTATGGTGGGAGCGGTGGCGCAGTGCTTAGCATGCTGTGCTACACCACCCAACAACACCAACATCGGTTATGGATATCCAAACCGGTTCTGGGCCTCCCTTAGGTCGACTCAGCCTTAATGAATTGAGCACCCGGTGCGGTGTGTAAACAGCACTGGGGAGACGAAAGGCGGCCGGGCGTGGCGGCACTGGCCCACCAGCGCACGGCTCGTGCGCCATGCCGGCCTTCATGGGGGCGGCACTTGCCGCAGCGGTCTGTGGGCTACCTGGGAGACCTTTGTCTCTGCGCGCGGTCCGTCGTCGCGGTGCCGTGCGCCTCGCTTGTATATTCGCCTCCGTTGAGTACGCCGAGCGGTTTAGCGGCACGCGCGACGCTGTCATTGCCGCTTCCGCAACAAACGACGGCCGCCGTGCGTTCGGAGTCGTCCTCTCTCGGTCCGTCGAAGAGGAGGAGGGGGGAGGCGCGTCCGTGATCAAAACACCACCTTCGCCACCCACACCGCACCGTGGCAGTTTGTCCGAATTTACATAATAAATTTGGTGATGGTATATATATATATATACACACGCGTGTCTGTGTGTCTAAATGCGTTTGTGTGTGTCAGTGGTGAGTAGTGAGAGTGTGGTTAGTCGGTTGTGGGCGAGTGAGTGGCGAGTCACAGCTTGGAGCGAGAGCAGGTTGCCAGCGCGTCCCTCAGCGCCAGCAGCACTTTGTCCACGTTCTGCTCCGTCGAGTTTTGACCCATGAGCCCGATACGCCACACCTACAAAGACAAAGGTTCCCCACCCCGATTAGCCTTCACAGATTGTTGGGGCAAGTGCTACTCACGCTGCATGCTAACCACTGCACTACCGCTCGCCCAGGATGTACAAACCCACAACATGGCCCGTTCGCATGTGCCTACCCCCTGAACGCGTGCTTACCGCACTTCACGTCCCTACCCCCTTAACGCGTCCCGACCCCCATTCACCTGTCCTGCCGTGGGTCCCAGTCCCCCGGCGATCTCGATGCCGTGGCGACTCGTGATGAAGTCCACCACCTCCTTCCATGCGTAGCCTGGGGGCACCCGCACCGTGGTGATGGTGGGGAGACGAGCCTCCTGCCGCCATGTGGGGAGACGGAGGGACACGTGGTGAGACGGACGGAGGGACACGTGGTGAGACGGAGGCACGCGTGCTTTATAGGAGCGAGGGGGTGGGGATGGGCGAGGGTGGTGAATGTTTAGAGGCAAACGGTGATTGGCGTGGTGAGGGAGTGGTCAACAGGGCGAGCGAGTGGTGAGAGCTAGCGAGCGGTGAGAGCGAGCGAGTGGTGAGCGAGCGAGTTGTGAGCCAGCGGTGAGAGCGAGCGAGTTGTGAGCCAGCGGTGAGAGCGAGCGAGTTGTGAGCGAGCGGTGAGGGCGAGCGAGTGAGTGAGCGGTGAGAGCGAGCGAGTTGTGAGCGAGCGGTGAGAGCGAGCGAGTGAGTGGTGAGCGAGCGAGTGGTGAGCGAGTGATGAGTGAGCTCGCCTTCTCCCCGACGAATAGCTGCAATCCGAGCTCCGCGAGGCCGCGGTGGAGACGCAGAGCGTTCCGCCCATGCCGCTCCCAGCACCGCTCAAGACCCTGGGGGTGAGCGGTAGGGCGAGCGGTAGGGTGAGCGGTAGGGGAGCACACAGGTGAGCGGTAGGGCGAGGGGTAGGGGGTAAAAATCACTTGGCCTTTGTGCGTCATGCAAAAACACGAGCAGTTCCTAAAGAATTGCATTGTGTGTGAGTGTCCAGGCGTGTGGTTCAGCGAGTGGCTAGCCAAGTGGATCGCTGAGCCGTTAGATGAGTTGTTGAATGAGTGGTTGGGTGAGTGGTTGGGTGAGTGGGTAGGTGAGTGGGGAGGTGAGTGGGGAGGTGAGTGGGTATGTGAGTGGGTAGGTGAGTGGGTACGTGAGTGGGTAGGTGAGTGGGGAGGTGGGTGGGTATGTGAGTGGGTACATGAGTGGGTAGGTGAGTGGCTCGGTGAGTGGCTAGGTGAGTGGGTAGGTGAGTGGGTAGGTGAGTGGGTAGGTGAGTGGTGAGGTGAGTGGTGAGGTGTGGGCTCCGTTACCTCCTCCACCAGCTCTGCAAGTCCCTCTCGCAGGGCGTACACGGCAGAGATGGGGCCTGTGTGGTGATACCTGAGACAGACGGGCACGGAGACACGGGGGCACGGAGACACGGGGGCACGGGGGCAAGAGGGCACGGGGGCACGGGGGCACGGGGGCACGGGGGCACGGGGGCACGGGGGCACGGGGGCACGGGGGCACGGGGGCACGGGGACACGGGGACACGGGGGCACGGAGGCACGGGGGCACGGGGGCACGGGGGCACGGGGGCACGGGGGCACGGGGGCACGGGGGCACGGGGGCACGGGGGCACGGGGGCACGGAGACACGGGGGCAAGGGGGCACGGGGGCAAGGGGGCACGGGGGCAAGGGGGCACGGGGGCACGGGGGCACGGGGACACGGGGACAGGCAGGTTTAGCTGGAATGCGGGGGGGGGGGGGGTAAGGGTGAATGAAGGTGGGGCAGCGGGGGAGGTGTGAAGAGGTCGGGAGGTTGACGAGGGGAGCATGAAGAGGTTGACGCTGAGGTTTTTAATGAGCAAGAGGTTGCTGATGATGAGTGCGAGATTGATGATGAGGTTGTTGAGGAGATTGACGAGGGGGTTGATGAGGGGGGGTTGATGAGGTTGAGGAGGTTGAGAGGGGGGGGGGGAGTTGATGAGGGTGATGAGGTTGATGAGGGGAGGGGGGGGGGTTGACGAGGTGTCACCTGCGAGGGCCCTCGTCACAGCCCCAGTAGTTGGCCAGACCCTTCATGTCGAAGTAAAAGGAGGGAACCTCGGTCTTCCGTGCCAACAACCGCTCCCTGGGACAACCACAACCACCGTCATCACCACCGCAACCACCACCATCGTGGGGTGGTGCGTTGCATTGCATGTGTGGTGCCGTGTGTGTGGTGTGGTGTGTAGAGCGGTGTGTGCGGTGAGGTGTGGTGTGTGTGGTGTGTAGAGTGGTGTGTGTGGTGTGGTGTGTAGAGCGGTGTGTGCTGTGGTGTTGGTGCGGTGTATGAGGTGTGGCAATGTGTATGTGGTGCCGTGTGTGAGGTGCGGTGTTTCAAGCGGTGTGTGCAGTGTGTGTGGTGTGGTGCGGTGTGCGGTGTGTGTGGTGTGGTGCGGTGTGTGGTGCGGTGTGTGTGGTATGTAGAGCGGTGTGTGTGGTGTGTGTGGTGTGGTGGGGTGTGTAGAGCGGTGTGTGTGGTGTGGTGCGGTGTGTGTGGTGTATGCGTTGCGGTGATGTGCGGTATCCTCACCACGCTCGCTGGCTGAAGGAGATTGGGGAGGGGCCGGGAGGACACCCCAGGACCTTCTGCGAGCCGGTGTAGAGGACGTCGATCTCTACACAATCACAAAGACCCCCCGCCACCCCCCCCGTGGAGCCTTCAACACAGCTGTTGGGACGACTGCTGTTAGCGAGGAGCACCCACGAAGGCCGGCGAGTGGGTGCGGGCAGCACGACGCCCGGCCCGCCTTTGTCTCCCCATTCATTAAAGTTTTCCCGCCGCACCGTGTACTCATTTTAAGGAGAGCCACAGGACTGGTTATCAAACCGCTCGCCGTCGATGGCCACCTGACCCAGGGGGAGGAGGCCCCCGTGCCGCGAGCACGGCCTACTCCTCTTCGGACGACGTCAACGGGATTCCGATATGAATGTCCATCGCTGTGAAGCGGACCCGCAGCGCGTCTTGTGGTGCCACCACAGCATTCACCAGGGTGGCCGACGGGATTCGACTCGCGACACAACAGCGGCCCCGCTACCGACTGAGCCACGTCAACCCCACCCCCTCAGTGGGGCCCTCCCCCTCCCCCATGAGACCCCAAAAATGTCTGTTAATGATATTCACGTAGAAAATACGTTGAATGTTTTTATTATTCATAATGAAGAGGGGACTTTGTATGGGTCCCCCTCCTCCTCCCCTAGGAACTTTCTAGATCCACCTCTGCCACCCCTGACCTCGAATGACCCCAGCTTTGACCCCTAACCCTTGAGCTTTACACTGACCCTGGCGCCAACCATAAACCCTCAACATCATCAGGCTGCCGACCTTTAGCCTGAACAGCGTGACAGCCAGTGACCCCGCGGTGACCCCAGCGGTGACCCCACAGTGACCCCGCGGTGACCCCGGTGGTGACCCCGGTGGTGACCCCACGGTGATCCCCGCGGTGACCCCGCCCGCCACTCACCCAGCTCGTCCATGTGCAGGGGAGTCCCTCCCAGCGACGCCACAGAGTCGACGATGAGCAGGCAGTCGGACCTGCCAAGGGGAGATGGAGCGGCCACGGTGAGCAGGGCTCTGCGGGGATCGTCGGCGAGGAGCGACGATGCAATCGCATCTCGAGTCGATTTCTCTCCTCCTCGACTCATTTTAAGGCTGAGTCGACCTAAGGGAGGCCCCCCTGGGACTGGTTCACATCTTCCAATTGCCGCCGTCGATGGCTTCCCCCCGTTCTTCGACTGACGTCCACGGGATTCTTGATAACGTCCACTGCTTGTGAAGCAACACGCAACTGCGTGCGGTATACGCGTGATGTTTAAACATACATACCATGGTCAATACACAATCCTCTGCCCATGGCACGCACATAGATTATGTCAGGCAGTTAAATGTCACCACGTGAGCGATGGCAAACACTTGATTTGTAGACCACTGCCATACCTAGGTGATTAAATTGTGCCCGCAACACCCCGCCAACCGCACCGCCGATTGTGCGGAAGAAGAGCACACACACACAGGAACCACGAACCACTGCAACAAACCACTGGCGGCCATGTCAACCCCAAAACCGCCGGAGATCGATCTGCGCAGGTGAACCCCCGCACAGAGGAGAGTGTCCGTGTGTGTCCGTGGTGTCCGTGGTGTCCGTGTGTCCCCGTGGTGTCCGTAGTGTCTTACCAACAACCACTCATTCCCGACTGGGACAAGGGCTACTCCGGACCTTGCACCGGCTACGTTGTGCGCGTCGCTCTCGCCCCACGCGACAGACTGAGCGGAGGATGAAGAAGAAGCAGGAGACGCTGCACATGATTTGCTCATTAGGTGGAGGAGTCCGCTGGGGCTATGAGAGAATCACGTCGTCGGCATGGACGTTGAATGTTAGAATGAGGTTAAGCCGCAACGTCTGTCCGGTGGTAAAGTCCGTGAGTGACCCACGTTGGTAATTCACTCTCGCTGCAAAACCTTCAACACGCGGCGCCCACAGGCTTCTACAGGAAAGGGGGTGCCAAGGAGGTCTATCGTGGACCTTGAGGGTCTTGGGGGGTTGAGGTTTGCTTGGGAGATTGGGGGTGGGGGGGGGTTCACCTGTGGCAGAGGGGTCCTATCCCCTCGAGCGGCTGCAGAACCCCTGTGGAGGATTCCCCGTGCGTCACGAAGAGGAGGCGAGGTCGGTGCTCCAGTAGGGCCTGACGGGGGGGGGGGGGGGGGGGGCACGTGGACACGTGGTTGGGGGGTCACTGGGACACGGCGGCACACGAGGGGTGCACGAGGGGGACACGGATGAAACCGGGGGATGTGTGGATACGTAGGAGGGAGAGATGGGGGACACGTGGGCATTGGAGACACAAAGGGAACCCCCCCATGAGGACACATTAAGAATAAAGAACGTGCGTGCGGATACACGGGGAAATGGGGATATGGGGACACGCCGGGGGACATGCAGGGGGACACGCAGGGATACCACGGGGGGGGGGGGGACAGGGACCAAGGGGGTATAGGGACACACGAGTGGGTACGGGGGCATGGGGGCCACACGGGGAGATGCATGGAGATACATGGACGCGGGGGGACGCACGCGGACACGGCGACACGTGGAGATGATACAGTGAGACAGGGACATAGAGAGGTATGGGGGACACACGGAGCCGAGGGGGGGGGGGTTTAGGGGACACAACGGGACACGAGAGAGATGAGATGAATGTGCGTGAGGACACAGGGACTCAAGGATGGACTCCAGGAGGAGGAGGAGGGGGGGGGGGGAGTTCCGCGGTGAGAATTTCTCTCACCTGCTCGATCTGCGCGATGCTGAATCTCTCCCCCGCGGGGCCTTCCAGCGTCCGCACATCGGCTCCTGCGAGCACCCGACGCGTCATCCATCCATCATCACCATCGACATCATCATCACGGTCATCAACATTGTAAGCGAAGTCGTCATCGCGGTGATGGGGCAGTGATGGTGTTGGGATGGGAATACTGCAGCGATGGTTCCGGCAAATGGTCTAACGATGGTAATAGAATTGTAGCGGTGATGTTATAGTGATGGCGCGGTGATGGTAGTGCTTGTGGTGCCGGTGTTACTCTCATGGCACAGCGATGGTGCGGTTATGATGGTGGTGTGGTGATGATGGTGGTGATGTGGTGATGATTCTGATGGTGGTGCTTGTGATTGATGTACTATCGTGCCACAACGATGGCGTGGTGATGATGGTGGTGTGGTGATGATGGTGGTGATGCGGTGATGATTCTGATGGTGGTGCTTGTGATTGATGTACTATCGTGCCACAACGATGGTGTGGTGATGATGGTGGTGTGGTGATGATGGTGGTGTGGTAATGATGGTGGTGTGGTGATGATGGTGGTGTGGTGATGATGTTAGTTTGAACAGTTTATTTACAATTGCCCTGTGAGCTAATACGCTCTTGAATCGGGTTTCATCAACAGAACAGAAAACCGCTTGCAACAGGTCGCATACAAATTATAAATGCAATAAATACAGCAATTAAAAGTCAACAAATAAACAAAAATGTACAATATTTTACTTACTTTTAATTAAATATTTAACTAAACTGAACATTAAGATTAGAGAAACATATTGCTAAATAGTATAACGAGGAATGGAAACGCCTTTGGTGAAATAGTTTTTCCTGTGCAAACAACAAATTCGAAGTAACACGTTGCACACATTACAACAGCACATGGACTCATATACAGAATAATAATACGAAAGACGATTTGTATATCGTCTACTTGCTTCAGCAGTGGCAGACTGGCAGGAATACACTTGAAATAAATGATTTAAGATGATTGAGTGAAGGTAGTGACTGTAAATCAAGTTTCGTGGTGATATTATTCCAGAGACTAGGGGCGGCCACTGAGAATGCCCGTTTACCAAAACCTGTTTTGTACCTAGGAACATTCAACAAAAAACACGATGAGCTCGCTCGGGATAGTTCTGGCATCCCGTGGTGTCAACAGATCAAACTAATATTCTGCTGAATTGGAACTACGGACATTTCTAATAAACAAAGCCTGTTCTAGATTTGAAGCTTTCGTGACTGCAAGGATTCATATTCTTTGGTTTTTTCGGTAAAGCCACGTAGGTAAAAAAAACTTAAAATTAAAATTAATTAAAATTAAATTAAAATCACGACGTTTCGGAGGCAACACAAGCCTCCGTCTTCAGGTGGAATTATCACAACACGCTTGCTGTATCAAGTAAATGAGAAATTCCAAGAGATCCGACCCCGTAAATATACTGGGTGATGATTCTGCGATCATGGAGGGATGTTAGGCCAGTCTCTCTATATAGATCACAACTATGAGTTGTATAAGGGGCCTCTAGAGCAAATCTTATAGCTGAATGATATATTGGGATGAGCTTATCTAGCAATTAATTTGATGCAGACTGATAAACAATGTCACGGTTATCAAATAAAGGCAGTTTAGTAACCCTTATCAACTCAAGGCGAAGTTTAACTGGGAAACAATGTTATGCCTATTAAGAAAGCCAGTTTTTAATTTAACTTTCTTTCCAGTATGATCATTATGATCCTGGAACGTAAGTTTTGAATCAATTATGAGCCCAATGTAATTAGTTATGTCTACCTGTGGTGGTGTGGTGATGATGGTGGTGATGCGGTGATGATTCTGGTGGTGGTGCCGGTGATGGCCGTATTATCGTGACACAGCGATGGTGTGGTGATGATGGTGGTGAAGTGGTGATAATGCTGATGGTGATGCGGTGATGATGGTGATGATGGTGGTGGTGATGATGGTGGTGATGGTGGTGAAGTGGTGATGATGCCGATGGTGATGCGGTGATGATGGTGGTGATGCGGTGATGATTCTGGTGGTGGTGGTGGTTCCGGTGATGGTGATGATGGTGGTGATGATGGTGGTAATGATGCGATGATGATGATGGTGGTGATGGTTGTACTCTCGTCGCCCAGCGATGATGCCGGTGATGGTGCCCGCCGATGTGCGACGCCGCGGGGGATGTCTCACGCAGGCGGCGGGCGATGGAGGCTGCGCGCTCTCCCCACACTCCGTGGACGCACACCGCCACGCGCTCCCGCTCCTGCGCCAGGTTCACGATGGCCGCCTCCATGGCCGCGTGGCCCGTGCCGCTCACGGCCAACGTGACCGCGTTGCGCGTCTGGAACGCGTAGCGCAGCCCCGCGCGCACCTCGTCCATCACCTGGGGGAGGGGGCACACGGGTGGGGAGACCGTACGTGTGTCTGTCTGTCTGTGTGTGTGTCTGTCTGTGTGTTGAACTTCGTTCGCACCGTACGTGGCCGTGTTTAATCGGAGGACACGGTGAGACACGGGGACACGGGGTAGATACGGAGGGACACGTGGGAGACACGAGGACACGGGGGAGATACGGAAGGACACGGGGAGATACGGGCAATTCCGGGGCGTGGAGACAGGGAAACACTGGTGTATAGGATTCTGGAGACACGGGGACAAAAACACGTGGAAACAATGAAGAACCCCACCCTCATCACCCCTCCCTCATCACCCCTCCCCCATCACCCCTCCCTCATCACCCCTCCCCCGCCTCACCTGGCAGCCGCCTCACCTGGCAGAACTCGGGGTGGAGGTGTCCCAGCAAGGGCAGGGCGCCGGCAGCTCGGACCCTCGCCGACGAGTTGGAGGGCCCCGGGCCCAGCAGCAGGCGCGTCGGGACCCGCAGGGGCCTCAATAGCTCCTGTGGAGGTGGCTGGAGGCTCAGAGCCCTGCGGGTCGCAGGACCCCCGATGCCCGGGGTCTTCATCATCGCGTCCAGGGAGCGGAGGAGCATGAACCTGTGCATGGGGTCGAGAGAGGAGCTCCCGTGTGCTGCTCCTCCTCCTCGCTGTTCCCTCCTCGTTCCCTCCTCTTCTTTGCTCTCTCCTCCCTTCCTCTTCACTGCCCCCCCCCCCTCCCCTCTTCAGTGTCGGTGTGGATGTTGCGTGTTGTTTGAGCTGGGTCACTTATTGACGTGGACCTAACGGAGCCAACCTTTGCGCGATGGTGATGCAGAGGGGCGAGGGGTTGGGAAGCGAGACCCAAACTCAACACTCACTCCACGCCCACCACACACACAAGGCAAAGATCCCCCGGGTAGCCGACACAGGCTGTTGGGATAAGTGCCGTTAACGAGCACGTATGAAAGTCGGCACAGTGGTATGGACTCACGCCAACAAATCCACACACCACACACACACACGTAAACTCTCACACGGCCAGAGACTGCAAAGACTCACTCATACATACGCACACACACACTCGCACAGCTCCTACACACACACACAAAGCTCTCACACGGAATCATCACACAGACACACACCCCAAACAAAGGTCCGACCATGGAACTTAACAGACTGTTGGGGCAAGTGCTGTTAGCGAGCACACGAGGGGATGGGTGACCAGGACCACGCCTGGCCGTCTTTGTCTCCCTAGTAGCGATGTTTATTACACACCGCACCAGGTACTCATTTGAGTCTGAGTCGACCTAGGGGAGGCCCAGCACCGGTTCAGATAATCGTCACTGCTGTTGGACACAGACAGACACACACACAGCCACACACACAGACACACACAAACACGCACAGCCACACACACAGACACACACAAACACGCACAGCCACACACACAGACACACACATACACACAGCCACACACACAGACACACACAAACACGCACCCTCTTTCTCTGATAGAAAAAAAACATTTCCAGATGTTTCAGAGTCACGAGATTCGTGCAAATTCCACGTGGCTGGTTTTCCACGGCGCGCGGTACAAGGAGAGTGGGGGGGGGGGCTCACAACGCACAGCCGTCTTTGTCTCTCCAGGGCTATTTTTAGGAATTTGCCCCTACCGGACAAGTAGAGTGCTCAATTTTAAGGCTAAATCTACCTAGAGGAGGCCCGGGACCTGTTCAGAAATTCGTCACCGACATTGGTGGCCGTGAGAGGGAATCGAACTGGATGGGAGGGGGGGGTTCACTGAGTTCGTAGCGCAGAGCATGAACCAGTGGGGGGAGGGGAGTGGGGGGAGTTGGGGGAGGGGGGTGGGGGCTGGGGAGTGGGGGGAGAGGAAGCGCCACGTGGACTCCTACCGCTTCCTCCAATGGGAACCGCTCTCCCAGCCCAACTCCTCTCCCCCCGGTGCCCCCCTCCTCATCACCCGACACCCGAAACCCTCATTCATTAACCGCATTGGTAAGATGTGAACTCCCTCGCCTGGTGTACAGGAGGTCGTGGGTTCGATCTCGACCCTGACGCCTGCTGTATATTTGGAGTTTGCGTGTCTCTCTCATGATCATCATCACGGTGGCTAGAATATGTTAACTCCCTCGCCTGGTATACAGGAGGTCGTGGGTTCGATCTCGACCCTGACGCCTGCTGCTGTATATTTGGAGTTTGCGTGTCTCTCTCATGATCATCATTACGGTGGCTAGAATATGTTAACTTCCTCGCCTGGTATACAGGAGGTCGTGGGTTCGATCTCGACCCTGACGTCTGCTGTATATTTGGAATTTGCGTCTTTCTCTCTCCCCCGTAATGGTGTGGATTTTTCTCCGGGTCCTCCGGTTTTTCCCTCCGTATTTAGAATCAACATCGCCACGCGTTCAGGGTATTTATCTGCCGGTATGAATGTCCACCCGATGAGCCGCTTCGTTGCGCTATCATTTGTGTCCAGGGCGCTTCTGCAAAAAAAGATCCACATAGCTCTATGGGGCCCTTGCCTAGTAAAATAAAAACAAGCTTATAGTTCAACCCCCTCCTCCGACCGAGTTAATCGGCAGCATCGCCACCACCACCACTACCACCTCTCCTGCGATGTAAAACGATCCGCACACGGTCCTCCCGCAACACCACGCGCCGGCTCCGTCGCTCCGTCTCCTGAGCGGGCGACGAGGTTGAGAAGCCACCGGCTCGCGTCTTCATCTTGGCTGGCCCTGCAGGCCGTGACGCGTCCTGTACGGATGATTTCAGCCGAATGAAACATCGGCAGGATCCGATGTACTTTAGCTATTTTATTCATTCTTTTGTTGATTTATTTTTTCTTTCCGAGACTTTGCACTCGTGTCTTGTGTTTGTATCGTTTGTTGTTGCAACTTTCCGATCCGCCCCTAACTGGACATCTGTAATAAAAAAAAAAAGCTTCATAGATCATCGAATTCCTCCTCCAGGATAAATAAAGATTCTGAGCATTGAACGTTCGTGTCCATAGACCGTGTTTGTGCTCGGAATAAGGGTCATTACCCGAAACGTCGCCGCTCTTTCGTTTTTTATCCCGCATCCACCTCTCCCTCGAAAGCCGTCAATCAGGTGATTGGTGTCACGTGAGTGGTGAGTAGTGAGTGTCTGGTGAGTGGTGAGTGTCACGTGATTCGTTTCAGGCGAGTGGTGAGTGTTGAGTGAGTGATAAAAAATACAAATAATAGCAATAATAATATAAACTTTTTATGTATGTATTTTTTTAATGTATTAGTTGTTGTGAGCGTGATTGCCTTACACCAATAGACACACATACAGACACAGACAACGATCCTCCGTATAGCCTTTATTTTATTTTCTACCTACGTGACTTTACCGAAAAAGCCGAAGAGTATGAATCCTTGCAGTCATGAAAGCTTCAAATCTAGAATGTTTAGTGAGTGTTGAGGGTCAGGTGAGTTGGTGAACATCAGGTGAGTGGGGAGTGGTGAGTGTCAGGTGAGTTGGTGAGTATCAGGTGAGTTGGTGAGCATCAGGTGAGCCTCAAGACTCTTGTGCAGGAGGGTCCTGCTATAATGGCGCGTTTGAGCAAGTGGTTATAGGTATGTTAAACTTCTTTCGCACCGCACGTGGTCAACCGTGCTCATCAGAAATGCGCGGGGGAAGGACAGCAAACTTGTACATCCCACCTCGCCATCGCCTCCTTCCTTCTGCCAGATCCTGCAGAATATGTCAAGTCCTCCAAGCTCCTATTTCTGTCTCTGTCGCTGTCTCACATGCGGCTCTCGGTCTCCCTCGCCCTCGATGAGCGAGAGATCAGAATCAGGATTTTTAAAAAAAAATCTACATCTTTATTTCGACGGCAGGAGGGGGAATCCGATGAGCTATGAAGCGAGTGGCCAGCAGGTTACAACAACAAGAAGCGATACGAAAAAACAACGATAGGAGTTCATATTCTTGGTTCTTTCGGTTAAGTCACGGAGATAGAAAATAAAAAATACAAATAATTAAATTACCGCTACCTCCGCCTGATAAAGACCGCTTGTGTTGCGATCGAAACGTCGTGGGTTTTTTTGCTTTTATTATTTTAAATTAATTATTGTTTTTTTCTAGTTTTCATTTTATTATTTTTATTTTTGGTTTTCTACCTACGTGACTTTACCGAAAGAACTAAGAAAATGAATTCCTACAGTCACGAAAGTTTTAAGTCAAAATTTAAACGATAGGAGTGCAAAGAAGAGCAAGTCACTAAACATGAATAAAAAATAAAGTACAAAGTCACAATTTCATGAGTACATACATCCCTGCCGATTTGTCAACAGCCAATGCAAGCATGCGGCTTGGCAGCAAAACAACAACAACAACAGCAACAGTCCCCGACCACACCAAGACAACAACACACAGTCGTTTAACATTAACATTGAACTCTCGATACACGGGTGGTAAGGATCAACGTTACAAATCACATTTACAAATGCGGTTGTATCCAGCACTAATCTCAGTCACCCGTCACTCATGTACACTGCATCCTGGCGATCAGCATGATCATAATCAGCATGTGAACTATCGATCCCGACCCTTGACGCCTGCTGCTGCTGCTGTATATTTGGAGTTTGTGGTGTCTCTCTCCCCGTGGTTGCGCCGGATTTTTCTCCGGCTGCTATACATTTCCACGCGATGATAAGGCCACTCCGTTGAGCTATCATTTGTGGCCAGGTCGCTTCTGAAACAGAGCTGTACAGCTTCGTAGGCCTTACCTGGTAAAATAAAATAAAATTGTTTGTGGTTCATTTGTGTTTAAGGCCCTCCCGTGAGGACCCCTCGCGTCCACAAGGGGGCGCCGAGTGCTCACCTGGCCTGGCGGGTGGGTGGGTGAGGTAGGTGAGTGGTTGAGGTAGATGAGTGGGTGAGAGGGTGAGCGGGTGAGTGGTTGAGGTAGTTGAAGTAGGTGAGTGGAGCGGGTGAGTGGGTGAGCGGGTGAGTGTTTCAGGTCGGTGAATGGGTGAGTGGTTGAGGTAGGTGAGGGGAGTGGTGAGTGGAGTGGGTGAGTGGTTCAGGTAGATGAGTGGAGCGGATGAGTGGTTGAGGTAGGTGAGTGGGTGAGTGGTTGAGGTAGGTGAGTGGTTGAGGTGGGTGAGTGGGTGAGTGGGTGAGTGGTTCAGGTAGGTGAGTGGGTGAGTGGGTGAGTGAGTGGGTGAGTGGTTGAGGTGGGTGAGTGGAGCGGGTGGATAGTTGAGCGTGCGGTGGCTCAGAGGGCCTCATCTGGTAGAATAAAAAAACGAGTTTAGTTCACAGTTCGATCTCCAGTGCCAACCTCACGATGAGCAGCAGCAGCAGCGTGCTGTTTGCATGTCACGTGATCGTGTGACTCGCCCTGCCGAGAGGTTCAAAGCGGGCAGCTCCTCCAGCAGAGGGCGCAAGGACCGCGTGGACCGCGCTGACAAGCAGCGGGACTCAGGCCTCGTCTCTGCCGTTCCCTCTACCCCCTGTTCCCTATGCCCCCTTGTTCCCTCTACCCCCCTGTTCCCTATGCAACCCTGTTCTCTATGACCCCCTGTTCCCTCTCTCTCCCTGTTCCCAATTACCCCCTCTGCCCTCTCTCTCCCTGTCCCCTATCCCCCCCCCCCATCCCCTATGCCCCCTTGTTCTCTCTATCTCACTGCAAATCTATGCCCCCCTGTTCCCTATGCAACCCTGTTCCCCATACCCCCTTGTTCCCTGGTCTCTCAATCTCCCTGTCCCCTATGCCCCCCTATT